CTATGCTGGAAACTAGAGGATGAGGCCATCTAAGTGTCAGAAGGGTATATCTGCATTCTATCATATGGAACAGGTACTGGGAGGATAGAGAACCATTGAATCTTTCGGGGCTTCTCACACAGTATCACACCATGAACCACCTGGGATTCCTGTTAGATCAAAGTTGGATCAGTAGGTTTGAGGCTGCAGCTAACACGCTTCTAGGGGATGCTGATAGCAGTGTTCCGGGGACCTCACTTCAAGTAGCCAGGGATGAGGAAGTAAGAGAGTGAATGAATGACTAGCCCATGGGTTAGGGTTCTTACAAGGATATTTGAGTTAATAAATCATTTTTTTGCAAATAAGTAGAGAAGTTGAAATTATGCAAAAGAATGTTTTGGAGACCATTAGCTAACCATTTAAGAAATTTAAGTTATAATTTAGTGTCACAACTTATACCAATGTAAATTCTAGACAAGTAAACGTGTAACTGCACAGTTAAAATTCTACAATATTTTAGGAACATAGGAGGTTTATATAATAGTGATGTAGGGGAGCTATTTTTAAGTCACATACCAAAGATTCAGCCAGAGGAAAAAAATCAATAACTTAACCACTTCCAAAATTTAAACAGCCTTCACATAGGAAAAAAAGCAAGAAAATATTTGTGATGTTTATTAGAATAAGTGTTCTGAATATATAAAGAACTAATAAAATTAATAAAGGCATGGAAAGGAAATACACACAAAAAAAAATGGCCTATAAATTCACTGAGGATCAATGAAATAAAAACTAAAAGTTTAGTTTGGGGTTTGATCATATCTTAAAAATGTATAAGATATTGTTGACTGGGTGCAGTGGCTCAAGCCTGTAATCCCAGGTACTCAGGAGGAGGAAATCAGGAGGAACCTAGTTTGAACGTAGCCCAGGCAAAAAGTTCATTAAGACCCCATCTCAACCAGTGGGTGGTGCAGTGTTCATACTTACCATCCCAGCTATGCAAGAAACAAATAGAAAGATGGTGGTCCAGGCTGGCTTGGGCATAAAGTGAGATCCTATGTCAAAAATAACCAATACAAAAAGGACTGGTGGAGTGGCTCAAGTGCTAGAGCATCTGCCTAGCAAACGTGAGGTCCTGAGTTCAAACCGCAGAACTGCCATTTATCTTGGTGTGTATGTGTGTCCACCCAATGTTTGCGTGGATATAAGGAAAAAATGTTATTCACAGGTATACAAATTGTTACAATGCATTCAAAGCCTTAAAAAATTAGATACTACAAAGAACATACTCCATAATTAACAGTGATCATGTCAGTTGATTTAACTATTTACACTTTCACACTTTTTTTGTTTACTGTTTCCACAATAAACAAATACTAAATGGAATTGTATTTAAAATATAGAAATCCTAATCTTTCAATTTTAAGCCCAATACCTTTGGCCTCTTCTAAGTATAATAATACAAATAGCTTCTGCTATTAGGCCTTCCTCTTCTCTGCAGAGGCTGCTAGAAATTGTTTTGAAGTATACATTTATACATTTTTGAAGTATACATTACATTTACCCTGCAGCCTATGTGTGACTTTCCAAGAGTAGAGTGAGCTAAATATTTTATGCAGCTCAGTGCAGTATTAGTTACGAGATAAGTTTTATAGCTGCAAATGCTGCTAGCACACATTCACACACACAGTCACGCAGTGGGGTATGTTCTGAGAAATTCGTCATAATTTCTTCATTGTGTGCTTCACACAAACCATTGTCACTAGATATTATCTTACGGAATCCCCATCATGTATGCAGTCCCATCATTGACTGAAATATCATAATGTATATGATAATATACATAATAGATGAATAATTTTAAAAGTATACTACATAAATATTGAATTTAGTAAAGTGCTCACGTATTGGTATGTACTAAGTTTATGAATATGTTGGTAAGTAATTAAAATATATTAAATAAATGTATGAAATATACAGAGATGTGTGCATGTCCATAATCCCAGCCACTTGGGAGGCCAAGGCAGGAAGATTGCAAGTTTGAAACCAGTTAGGGCAACAGAGTGAGACCCTATCTTAAAACAAACTGTCTGTCTGTCTATCTGCTTTTGTATATATGTGTGTGTTACTTATTTAACTTTAATATCCATGAACACTGTTCCTATTATATGAGAAATCAGATTGCCTATTATTAGATGTGTACGTATTTCCTATTATCTGTGTATCTACATATTAAGAACAACATTCATGCATACAAAAGTTATCTGAAATAGATCTCTATATTTGTTTTCACCCTTGTGGTGGGCTTCCTTCTTTGGTCTTGGGCCTCCCTGCCCAATTTCTGACTCAGCAGCCGTGTGACAGCAGTGAGCCTGCTTATCCCCACCGTGGAATAAGATGGTTGTCAGGCCCGGAGCCCAGCCCTAATTTGATTACAGCTCGCTGTGCTGTCAGCAGCCACCGTGAAGTGTTCACATTGCCAGTCACAGCCTGGCCTTTCTCTGCTAAGATACATAGCAAGTGCTTTCATAACCTGCGGTAGTGTTTTATGCTCAGGGGCTTTGTGTGTGTATTCTGCTAGTCTGTCCAGGGAGAGGCATTGGAAGAAAGCCACGACTCAGATTATAGCAATCCAGTTTATAGACCCATGCTGCAGCGTGTCAGGCTACCAGGATCCCTGCAGAGAAAGCTGCCTGGCAGGCAGAGAGGACTGAAGACTCTTGTACTCACCAGGCTGGTGTATGGTTGCTGATGGGATCTTCAGGACAATGGGGCTGTGTTTGGCTCTTTGACCCGTTCAGTCCCACGAACCTGGCCTAATGTGCTTATTGGCGTGAAGCTTCCCTCCTGAGTCCCTACCATTTCAGACTTGGGTGTAGTCTGTCACCACACGGGAATCTGAAAACACCTCCCAAAGGCCCACACACATGCAGCTTGTGTACCTCCAGTGGTGGTGCTAGATGGGCGCCTCAGACGCAAACAATCCAAGGCCATCTGTATGCATTTGGGAAGCCAAGGCCTTGAGGGAGACTCCTGCAGAGCACACTGACCAGTGGAAGGGAAGCCAGGTCTCCTGCCCCTTCTGCAGTCCTCCTTCCGTTCCATGCCAGCAGCCACCTTAGAAAGGTCTTTGAGCACTGCCTCTGACTTTAGCTAACACTTGCCTACCAGTTTGTTTGTTCTTGGGTTGTTTTTTGTTTATATGCCTCAAATCATTTCCAAGATAAATTTAGTATTTAGGGTGGATTCCAATGGGACAATAAAGGAAAGACAGTATCAAGGACAAAATCACAACTATTTATTTATTTTTGCAGTCCTGGGGATTGAATTCAGGTCCTTGCACCTGCGCCTGCATATATTTTTCAGGTAGTACCTTGAGTCTTTGCCTGGGGTCAGTCTCTGACCATGATCCTCTCTTATAGCTGGGATTCCAGGTATGCACCACCCTGCTTGGCTTATTGTTGACATGAGGGTCTGGCTAACTTTTTGCATGGGCTAGCCTTAAACCACCATCCTCCCAATCTCCGCCTCCCAAGCAGCTGGGATTATAGGAGTGAGCCACCTCTCCTGGCACAACAATTTATTTTAATCATCTTTAATTGATTTAATTTTATGTTCTAAGATTGGGCAGCACTGCTTCCATAAAATAGAATAAGTGTTGCAATGAGCCAACCAGAGGAAGTTGGCTTTATAGACAGAAAAGGGCTAAAAAAGGCAGAAACAAGGAACAAACAGCAGATCAGTCATTTCAAAATTACTTTCTTTGTAAGGCAGGGGCAGGAAGACAGAGCTATAATAGGAATTATAACTGCTCAGTATCAAGTTACCTTAGTAGATACCTTTTTTGTGTCAAAAGAATTAAGGTAGGGAAAACTTCATATCATGCCAATTAGAACTCAACTGCTTGGGAAATTTGTCTGTCCCCTCTCTGTCTTGATTTCTGGGAAGGTTTGAGCCTGGTGAACTTTCAACTTGGAACTTGAGCGTGAGTGACTCCATTTTGACTTTTTGCCTGGTCTGTATTGGGAGCTTAGTCCTATAACAGTGGCCTCCCATCAGTTGTGTCTGAGAATCTGGTTGGGTTTAGTGTTGTATTTCCAAATTCTCTTTAGAGGTGAGACTGTCCCTTCTGCTTTCCTCCTCACCTCTGGTCCTCTTTCCCAGAATCGCCATGGAAACCTACATCCGGCAGAGGCAGCTCATCATGTCACCCTTGATAACATCAAATGTGATTGGGGAGAATGAGCCACTCACTTCAGTCTTGAACAAAGTGATAGCCGCAAAGGACGTCAATCACAAAGGGCAAGGTATACACCCGTGGGCTGGGCTGGGAGGGGACTTCAGAGCTGGGTCCTTGGACTCCTGCCCTTTCACTATCGCTCTCTGATACACAGCAGCTGCCTGGGGACCGCCCGCCTCAGGCATCTCACACTGAAGGGCACTGAGAATGCACCCAATAGTGGCCAGATCACAGTTGAACTTGGAAATTGTAGGAAACAAATTTTTACCCCACAAGTCTTGTCTTCTGCTTTACATTCTCAGTGTTAACTAATTAAGAAGAAAAGAGATTCGAGAATGATTACATTCTGCCCCCTGAATAAGTTTATTCGTTTTGTTTCCTGAGATCGGGAGGAAGGAGACCATAGCCATATAAATATATATGAATACACGTGAATGCAAATGAACCTGTGCTCATATAAAACGATGGGCCACTTTGCAAAGCTTTGTAGTCACCTTCAGAACCTCCGTGTGTCATTCTGTGGACGGTTCCAACTAAAAGAAGTTCTGATTGTAGAAACTCATTTTAAGTTAAAATAGTAAAGAAAAACAGTTGAAGTTTAAAATTCAGATACCAAAATGATGACTAGATTTGGATAGTTTGGAAGATCCAGTCACTTTTTTTTTTTCTAATGCCCTATACCCGTCTTCTGAAATGGAGGCAGACTAGAAATACTATTTTTTTACTATATTTAGTTTCTCATGTATTCACAATTCTGAGTAGGAAAGACGTGAGCAATAAATGATTTTGAAAAACAAGTAACTAAATATCTTTGTTTTTTTTTTAAGCTCTGCACCTAAGAATTTGATTTTAATTGAAGTGGAAAACACTTATGGCAAGCAGATTGCTGTTTATATATGAGGGTTTTTTTTCTTTTAAAATAAAACCATTAGTAGCTGTCATTTCCCTTTTTGCTGTTGGACAAAGCAATCACTTTTCAATTGGCTTTATGTTCTTCACAAATTTATTATTTATTTATTTATGTTTTTGGTGCACTGGGGTTTAACTCCCAGCCTCACGCTTGCTAGGCAGGTGCTCTTACCACTTGAGCCACTCTGCCTGCCCACAAAGTTATTGTGTGTCTGTAATATTCTGTTGCTTAAGTTTGCCACAAAAAGACAAACTTAACAGCAAATGTAGTCGACAGATCTTAACTGGCTTTATTTTCTCTTCACCAGGCAACACTTCATTCCATAAGATGGAATAAGTGTTCTGATGGACTGAGCAGGAGAGTTTTATAGACAGGAAAGGGCTGGTAAAAGCAGAAACATAAAACAGAGCCATTGGTCATCTCAGTTCTTCTCCTTGGAAGGTGAGACAGGGAGACTGACCCATAGAAAGCTGATTGGCAAACGTCAGGCCACTTCCAGTCACTTTTTATGTGAGGATTGAAGCAGAGGGAACTTGATAGTCTTGTGGATTAAGCTGACCTGTGTGGGAAGTTTGATTGTTATCTTTCCTGATTTCCTAGGAGGACAGATAACAACTTAGTTTCTTTTGGTGATGTGGACCTTCAGTGTCAGTGACTCCATTTGGATTTGTAGCCTGGTCTGTTGAGGCCCACCCAGTGCAAGACTTTAGTCTAAAACCATGGCCTCATGTAACTTTTATTTAATGAATTTAAGAAATGAAGTCTCCTAGATAAACACTTAAATGTTTTCTAATCTGATATCATTATAAATTCAAAGTACTCTGCTGTGACGATCTTTATACTAAAGCTTTTTCTGTATTTAGGACTGCCTCTTCCTCCCTCCCCCCGCCCCCCGCCCAACCCCCAAAACAATTCCCAGAAATAGGATTTCTGGACCCAGTGGTGAGAACCAGTTTAAACCAGAGTCACACATGTTACCACATTGCTTGCCATGGGTTTCTCTCACGGGCCCTGGTCACTGTGTTGGGGTGTTCACCCAGCTGAGCTCTTGCCTGTTTTGCAACTGATATTTAAAAATCTGCACCTGAGCTGGGCATAGTAGTACACAACTGTAATGTCAGCACTAAAGAGACTGAGAGGAGGATTTCAAGTTCTAGGCCAGCCAGGGCTACATAGCAAGACCCTGTTTTCTTCAGCTAAACTAAATCTGCACCTGTTCCAAAGGTGAAAGGTAGACTCAGGCATTTTCACAAAGGGTTGAGGTGGAATTATCTAATCTTTGTATGTAAGCATGAGATTCCTGAAGTTTCCTACCTCGGATTTCATGAGCCCTATAGATGATGAAATTAATAATCTTCTAAGATACGTTTTTTCAATTTTTGGTTTGCTAAACATTCATAAGGTTATTATGCATGTCCTATTAATTGGTGAGGATCTTTGTTTTCTCACAATGGATGTGAGTTCATGATTTCTTGTAAGTATCTTACAATTTTGTAACTTTTTGTAGATGCCTAATTATAATTTTGTGATTTTTTTCCTGCTTTTTTCTCTCATTTAAAAATGGTTTGTTCCCAGAGATTTAATAGCTGGATATTTATTTTTCCTTATAATTTCCTATCTTTTTTTCCTGTTTACTTTTTTATTATCTTAGAAATCTGCTTGAATGAAAACATGAGGCTAGAAATAAGTAGTAAGAAAATGATCACAGGATGTTATGCAATTAGTTTGTTCTTCACGATTGGTTAGTTCTCTTGTCATATGTTAAATTGCCATATGGAGCCACATTTAATCTCATGCATCCGTTTCTCTTGCTGCTCGTATTACAGAACTGCAGCCTGGCAGCGTCTTTTGGTATCCCTAGGGCTAACTGCACTCTGTTTTCCTGCTAATGCAGGGTTCTGTTCATATATCTGTCAAGTTCTCAAGGAATTCCTGTGGTGATTTTGATAGGAATGTCATTAAAATTATGTTAACTGGGGGAAATTTTAAACTTTGTAGTAAGGTACCTGATTACTCTTACACAACTCATGTTTTTCTTGGGGAGTTTAACAAAAACTTTTCTTTTCTTAAAGGACTCTGGGTATCCTTGAAGCTGTTGCCAGGTGACCTCACACAGGTTCAGAAGAATTTTTCACACTTGGTTGATAGATCAACAGCAATAGCTCGGAAAATGGGCTTCCCTGAGATAATACTGCCAGGTAAGCACTTGGCTGGCTCCTGCTTGTGTTCCATTTCTTCTCACAGGACAGATGCACAAGACAGTGGCTGACCCAGAGTTGTAGCATCCTCAATAGCTACCCAGTGGGCAAGGCCAAAAAACCCTTTTAAAGTAACTTGAGATCGGCAACTCACTGCCTTCCTTTCTGTTTACACAAACCCCTCCCAAATGCTTCCCTGTACTTCTGGCCTGGGGAGCAAACCATGCCTAGCACCCTCAGTCCAGGAGATGAGTTTGCCTCCTGTGCCTGAGCCTTTTCCCGCTGTGCCACCTCAGCTCCAGGGCTCCTGCTCAGCTCTGGCTCAGGAGGCCTCTCTGCTCCATTTCCTTGGTGCCTGCTGAGCTCTGGCTCTTCCTGCTCCTAAGCTGACAAAAGGCAGACTTCCTGCAGTCTCTTGCTTTACTGTCATCCTTTTTTTTTGCAGTACTGGAGTTTGAACACAGGGCCTTATACTTGTGCTCTACCTACCCTTTTTGCTTTAGTTTTTTTTCCGGTAGGTTCTCATTTTTGCTTGGTATGGGCCTCAGACAGCAATCTTCCTACCCATCTATCTTCCCTGACTGACTTATGTATTGAGATGGAATCTTGCTAATTTTTTGCCCAGCCTGGCCTTGAACCGCCATCCTTGTGATCTCTGCCTCCTGAGTAGCTGGGATTACAGGCGTGAACTACTGTGCCAGCCCTGTTTTCATCTCTTTGCCACCATGTGTTTATGGTCTCGATAGGTTTCCTCTTGAGTTCACTGATTTCACCATTTCATTCCTAAATCTCCTTAGCAGTAAAAGAAGATTATTCCCTTAAGCCACTTTATAAATATTAACATAAACTAATTGATGTTAATAAAATTAATTAATTAAACCAATCATGCCATTTTATAAAAATTCTAGCTCAGGTAATAGAACCCTTACCTTACCTAGTGTGTGTAAGGCCCCACATTCTTGTTTGTGTTGCCCCAGCAACACAAAACAGCAAACAAAAACCATGTGCTTTCTTGAACTGGTAGAGCATGTGAGACTCTTCAATCCTAGTATCACAAAGAGGAAGGAAAGGAGGAAGGCAGGAAGGAAGAAAGGAAAGAAGGAAGAAAGGAAGGCGGGCTGCATAGAAATTCAGGTACTTTCAAAATTATACAAGATCTTATCCTTCTTAGTCCTCCTTTGGGAAATTAGGGGACAATAATAATTTGTTTCTATACATGGTTGTCTGAATATGATAAGTATCGGGTGATTTTTGTGGAATGAATAAATAAAAGTTGTCTTAGCAAGCATGAGGCCCTGAGTTCAATCCCCAGTGTCACCAAAAAAGTAAATAAATAAATGTATCTTAATAAAAGAGAGATGATGTAATCTTTTCTCACAAAAGAAGGTAGTTCTGGGTAGCACTTGCCTGTAAACCCAGTCACTCAGGGGATAAGGTAGGAGGATTGTGGTCTGAGGTTGGCTCAGGCAAAAGCTAGAGATCCTGTCTGAAAAACAAAGATCTGGGGCATGGCTGTTTCACCATACTACATCTTCTCAACATCCTAGGAAAAGGTTTTGCCTCTTACTCTTTGTTTTTGAGACAGGATGCTGCTCTTATAGACTAGGCTGGCTTCTTGCTTCAGCCTCCCAAGTGCTGAGATTATAGGTGTGTACCACCACTCCTGGCAATCTTATTGTTAAATAATTATTGGTAATAATCTCTAATAAATTCAGCTTTACTGTCAGGTAAGACAAGAATCTGAAAAAAATAGAGAAATTTATTCTTTTGGCAAGGTGAGTTTATCTTTAAAATCTGGCTCTAAAAAGAATATTATGATTCTTTTGTCAATGTGGCTGACATCGATGCCAGGGCTACAGTGGGCTTAAATTCATCCAGGACAAGGGTTCCCAGTGCTGACTCTCCAACACAGACGCTCAGATTGCTCCCGAGCCTGAATCCGGCATCCTGGGTGTGTGCTGAGCAGGTCTGTGAAGTGCAGGTGTGGGTGAACTCCCTCAGCCTGGAGCTCCTTCCCACCCATCTGCAGGACTCAGTCACCTCTCCCCCTATGCCTGTCCTGAGCTCACAGTCTTCACAGGCAGGTGTTTGGAAGTGACCACCTAGACCCTCTGTCCCGGGTTTTGTCCCTATCCATCCCCTCCAGCCTGTGCAGATGGCTGCACCTAGACTGTAATGCAGTTGCAATGTTGCTTAGTCTAATGGGTCTTTTAGCCTCGTGATCAGCAGTATTTGACACTGTCTGTCATTCTCTTTTCGAAACATTCCCCTCCCTTCTCGTTGGAACCCTGCTTCTCTTTTCTCCGCTCCCCTGGGCCACCACTCTGCCATGTTGTCCTCATCTCCTTCACCTCAGTTCCTTAGTACCTGGTCCTTGGGCCTCTCGTAACTTGCTAGGGGTACCATAAGAAAACACTACCAACCACAGACGAGGGGAGTAAAAAACAGGAATGTATCCTCACGGTTCTGGAGGCTGGAAGTCCAAGGTAAGTTGAACACAGTTGGTTTCTTCTGAGGTTTGTTTCCTTGGCTTTCAAGCAGCTGTCTCCTTGCTGTGTCTTTATAAGGTCTTACAGTGGAAGGCTCTGTGTTTGCCTGCGTCTTAATCTCTTATAAAGACATGGGGCATATTAGAAAATGACAACATTTTACTTTAATTACCCCTTGAATGTCCTGTCTCCAAATATAGTCACATTCTGAGGTCTGGGGCAGAACTTCAGCATCTGAACGGGGTAGACGCAGTCAGCCCATTGTGGGTCCTCTTGCTTTCTCACCTCTAGACTCTCTCTAGGTGACATCATCCAGCATTGGCTTCCATCTGTTAGTTCCCTTCAAATCCTGTGTTTAACCCCAAGACTGCTTTGAACTCCATGGCCCTGTAGTCAGCTGCTTCCTGCATGGGACCCTAGTGGGTTCTGTTCCCACCCCCACTGGATTGCTCTTTTCTCTCTGACCAGTCACTTCTTCCTCGGCATCCCTGTTGGGACCTCCTACTGTGCTCCTGTGCTCTGTTTTATTAGTGGGAACGTCGCCTCCATCCTTCCAGCTGCACAAACAAGAAGCCTAAAGGTCACCTTTGACATCTTGCTGTCCTCTACACCTCACACAAAATGAGAGAATAAGACCTGCCAGTTATACTTTGAAGGCCTCTCAGATCCATCCCGTTTCCATCTGCATCGGCACCGCCTTAACTGGCTTTACTGTCTCCTCCTTGTTAGCTGCCATCACTACCTGACTGGCTTCCCGACATCTGCTCTTTCTTGCTGTCTGTCCTCCTTTTTGAATGCTCTTTTGCCTGGACCATAGCTGGTTTTACCTCACTCTGCCCTTGCTAGGAGCCTTTCCTGGACTTCCATTTACACTTAAGATGAAGACAAAAATCTCACATTGAATTCTAGGCCTCAGATTTGGCTTTCATCTCACACTAGACACCTCTCACTGTCAGGACTTAAATCATGGTGACTCTTTCTCTGGGCCTTTGCACATACTACTCTTCTTTCCTGTGATATTGGTTCAATGGAAAGATTCCCCCAGCCCCCAGACAAGGCCAGGAGGTGCCCTATACGTTCACAGAGCCTGGCCTGTTCCTTCACTTCTAGTGAGGCTTGTCATTGTGAGATAAGTTGACAGATGCTTTTCTCCCCACTGGACCACTGAACTATAAGATGTGAAGGCAAAGCTGGTGCACAGTTGCCCTCTTCTTCCAGACCCCCAGCACAGTGTTTGACACCAAGTCAGTGCCCAGTCCACTTTCTGATCCAGACCCCCAGCACAGTGTTTGACACCAAGTCAGTGCCCAGTCCACTTTCTGAGTATTACTTGGCATCTGGTGAGACCTAGCTCATTCAGCCAGCTTATTGACTGCATTTTTACTATCTTCCTGTGTTGTTTAACAATGAGAACAGGTGATTTATGCCGTGTGAACATCACGGACTGTGCCTACACAAATGGAGGTGACTCAACATCAACCAGGTGGTATCACATATGGAGTCAAATGTTTCATGACTGCTCTTTGGGACAGATACTACCAGTGAAATTGTGTGTCAAGGTTTTTGGCACAAATGTCAGTTTTCCATCAGTCTAGAGGATATCAATTGAGATTTCAAATCAACTGTGTACATGTACCCCTTTTTCTTCACACAACAGCTAAAGGCAGTGTCTTTTCCCAACAAGTGATGAAAGGGGTGCACAGCACCTCTATTTTCTTACATTGTTGGAAGGTTTTAATATTGACATTGGAAAGCTGCTTAATATCATGCATGTTTTGGAGTGATTTATATGGTACTGAGTCTTTCCATCCAGGAATTTAATATTCCTTCCATTCATTCTACATTTCTTATGTACCTCAGTAACATTTCTTTCTTTTTTGTACCTGATTTGAATTTTTTTATTTTCTGAAATGGAACCATTGTACATTGTACAAACCATACCTCCTCAGTAACATTTCAACTATATCCTTACTACGGAAGCTAAGCTATACATCAACTTAAAAAACTTCCTGCTGATCAGAAAACAGAAAAGCATTGATAAGCATCACTGCACTGCTTTAGGTAAAAGCTTTTGCAGTGTCTGTGTCATTGCATCATCCCAGCATTTAAGAAGTAATCCATACTTTATTACAGTAATACACATAAGGCATAGCACTGAATAGTGGTGTCTTCGTGATCGTCAAATGTGTTAAAATATCACACTCTCCAAGGTGATATTGAAAAGCAATCTGCCTGACTCAACAAAATGTTATATGTGCTTGCTCACAAAAAAAAAAAAAAGAGAGAGGAAACAATATAAGACGTGCTTATAATTAGGCAACAGTTATTACTAAGTGGGGCGAAGAATTACTGTTGATAAGAGTCAGTTCTTACAAAACCTACATATCAAAAATATCTTGTGTGTAGGGAAAGATAGGATGAGGTGAGCTGAAGGGAGGCATATGAGCAAAAGATTTTTTAATTTTGGGGTTTGAACCGCTACACAGGTGCTCTACCACTTGAGCCACACTACAGCACTTTTTGCTTTCATTATTTTTCAAATAGGATCTCACATTTATGTCCTGGCCAGCCTGGATTGTGATCCTCCTACTTATGCTTCCCTACATGTCTGGGATGACAGGAGTGTACCACTGCACCCAGCTATTGATTTAGATAGGGTCTCGTGGTGTACTTTTTGCCTGGCCTGGGCCCAAATTGAAATCCTCCTACTTTCTGCCTTCCAAGTAGCTAAGATTATAGGTGTGAGCTACCACCCCCAGCCTAGCAAAAGACTTTAGTTGAATGGTAGGTAGCTCATAAGAATCAGAGCATTTCATATTTTGTCTTTTACATCTTCTTAAATCCTGGATGACTTCTCTTAGCAACACTCACAGGATTGGTTGTCACATTGCAGGAGATGTTCGGAATGATATTTATGTCACTCTGATCCATGGGGAGTTTGACAAAGGGAAAAAGAAGACGCCCAAGAACGTGGAGGTGACCATGTCTGTGTTTGATGAGGAAGGCAACCTCTTGGAGGTACATGGTATCCCCCAGAGACCCTGCTTCATGATAGGCTGCTGGTCTTAACTGCTGATGTTCTTGGTGTCAGGGTGGGGCTGGCTTTTCATAAGGAAAAAGTATGAAACCTGAGAGATTTGTGATGATCAGTCACCAGTTTTACTGACGAAGCTATTTGGACTCTTATTTTGATATTGTTCCAGTGCTGAGAAATAACTGGCCCCTGAGGATTTTAAGTGAAGCCTCAAACATCCAGGTTCTTTGTCATTTTCAAGCCATTTAGCCACTCTTAAGCTTGAGCATAATGGCAGGCGTGCCCCAAGGGCCTTCAAAGGCATATTGCCTTCACCTGGGCAATCAGAGCCAACAGAGGCCAGACCATGAAGGAGTCGCTGAGCTGAAGGACCTGGGGTCAGCACTCACCGTCCTTTAGTTCTAACCATCAGGAATTCTGCAGCCCTGCATGGGGTTCTTTTGTCTGAGAAACATGGGAGTTAGAGACAGAGCCAGGAACACATCCAGGTGTCCTGACTTCCCATCCACAGTTCCTGGAACTCCAGCAGCTTTCTGTGCAGAACCAAGAAAGTCTTGATTCTGACATCAAAGAGAAAGAGAGGCAGCAGGTGGCCACTGAAATCCAAAAATCAAGCTCCTGGTTCACAGAGCTCACCGACTGGCTTTGTGCAGGGGCTGGTGGTCACAGCCAGGTGCAGCCACCTGCCGCATCCCCGAAGCTGCTATCAGCTCTGAAAGAGACAGATACCCAAACAGTTTATTATTCAAAACGGGATAAACAGAATGCCTTGGGCTGCAGGATGGGAGTGTTTTATTCATGCAATTGACAGAGCCCTTGTGTCCCACGAGTTCAAGTGCACGGCTTTTCTTTGTCAACCAAGCTTAGAAGTGCCCCATGGGGGCCTGGTTCTACTGACTACATGTTTCATTACTAGGAAAAGACATAGCCCTGAGATGGAGTGAACATGCCGTACCAAGTCCCTAAAGTAGAAAGTAGACCTAAAGGAGGATTTGTTTTCCTCAAACAGTGGTACATGTGCCCCTCGGCACTAATCCTACTCTTTGTCACCAGGCCTGTACTCCTGAGTGAGGAGGAAAGAGGAATGCAAGTGGAAAATGCATGCCTGAAGATGGAAGAGAGAACAGAGATACAGGACAGATTAAAATTCAGATGGGGTGGTGCCCTTAGTTGCCACCAGATTTATAGGGGTAGAAGTTCAGTCTTACCTGCTCTTCAGCCCCCAGACTCGATCAGCTTCCAGTAGCTAGAGTAAAGGCATGCTCTGAACCTGCTGGGAGAGGGGGGCACATCTGTGGTGTGTGGGATCCTCTTAGCCTTCAAGACAGCACTATCTTAATCTAGTTGTTTCTTTCCATCCAAAGAAAGCAATCCATCCTGGTGCTGGATACGAAGGCATTTCAGAATACAAGTCAGTAGTCTACTACCAAGTCAAGCAGCCCTGTTGGTATGAGACTGTCAAGGTGAGAATTTGCCTTTTATTAGCCCAGTCATCTCTTAAACCTTGTTCAGATTCCTATCTTCCTTACCTCCAAGTCATTCTTAGCTTATCCTGCAGTTTTAGAGACATTGCCCGTGGTGTGTAACAAGAAATGCGTTAGTGGTTATAATTCTGTTTTTAATAATTTCAACACTGTCAAATAACACTCTCATTCATAAATCTGTAGAAATGTGAATAAGACTGGCTATATTGACGCAATAGGCTGCCAGGATGCTCCAAAACCACACAGAAATTTTCACACTCTGTGAGCAGTTTCCTAACATGTTTTTCTTCTTGGCCCTGAACCAAATTTTCTGGGCCTCTTTTCAATTTGAATACGAATTTTACAAATTTCAAAGAGCTTTGCAGATCAGGACTCTCCTCCTGGCCCACAGTGGCCCAGTGAAGGCACGAGCAGGTGTTGTGATGCCCTCTTCCTGATAAGCTGAGCAGGTCTCAAAGGAATGAGCTGTCTCCCCAAGAGTCCAGAGCGTCTCCTGTCAAAGCCTGAATGGGAGCCACTTCTGAACCCCAGGCTGTGCCAGCATGGATTGTTGGAGTTGTGAGCTTTTCAGAGAAAGCTCAGAAACAAAAACATTGCACTCATGTCTCAGTTCGGATGTAGCCCGTATGCTTGAACGCCGCTGTTCATATGGATTTAAACTGTGCTTCTTAAAGCTACTTGTCTCAGGCAGTACATGCTCCTCCTCGGTAATATCTTTTTAGAAGCTTGTGTAATGTTCCATTATACAATGTTGCCATAAGTCATTTTTTTGGTAGGACTGGGATTTGAATTCACACCTCTTAGGCAGGTGCTCTACCACCTGAACCACTTCCCCCGGTCCTTTTTGATTTGGTTAGTTTTAAGATGGGGTCTTGCATCTATGCCCAGGTGAGCCTGGACTGTGATCATTCTAATTTGTGCTTCCCCACATAGCTGGGATGATAGTGTGTACCACTGTGTCCAGGCATTGGTTGAGATGGGAGCTTGCAAACTTTTTGCCCAGCCTGCCTCACATCCCAGCCTTTCTGATTTCTGACTCTCAAGTAGCTAGGTTTAATAAGTGTGAGCTACTGAGCCTGGCCAGTCTTGCCATAATTTATACCTGTGATCTGAAAGGTTCTGAGTAGACACCCTTCCCTCTGACATATTTACTGTTTAATACATGAGAAAACTTGTAGTAGCTCTATATTGATATACAGCAAAGCAACCTTCCTCAGAGATTCTTTGGGTTCGAAAAATAGCTTGGTCTGTATGAATAAAATCTTATAGCAAGGCTCACCTTGTAGGAACTCACGTGGCTGTTAAGATACTACAGTTGAGCCTAATTCTAGTTGTATGTCTCAGAAGAGCTGGGAGCAAGGATTTTGAATGTTCTCACCATAAAGAAAGGATAACAGTTTAAGGTGGTGGATGTGTCATAATCCTGTTGGATCATTACACGCCATACGCGTGAACCTAAACATACCGTGTCCCATACATATGGACAATTATTATATGCCAAATAAAAATAAATTCACTAAAACCCAACCTCATTCTTTAAATGAGCCTTGACTGCAAAGTACTGTGCATCTGTACACGATTAACTCCTCATCTCTGTGCAGGTATTCATTGCTATCGAGGACGTCACACGCTGCCACTTAAGATTTACCTTCCGACACAGGTCGTCTCAGGAATGTAAGTTTTAGGAAAGCTGTGCCATATTGCCATAAAAGTATTTGCTCTGCATAATGTGCTTTTGTGTGTTTGGAGAATGAGACACTTGAAGATTACATATCTGGGAATTTTATGTCAGAGTTCATTGGTGGGAAGAAAATCAGAATAGTGAGTCTGCTGGGCTTTTTCTACAGTGTGTTATCACTGTAGATCAGAATTTCTCCAAAACGTACTCTGGACACTGAAGTCCAATGAGATGCGAATAGATTCTGTATGATAAAAATGGGGAGGGGTTCACAGTGAAATAGGCGTAGGAACTGCTGTATATTCACTCTGAGATAGTCACGGTATGTGTTGCCATATTGCTGAAATGTCCTGTAGCAAAACAAATCTCTTCTGAAGTTCTTATTTCTTTCATGAAGGAACTATGTCAAGTCTTAAGTCCCAGTTGATGTAGTGACTTCTCTAAACTAGGAACAGAACAGAAAAAATGATTATTTTCAAGACTGGTCACAAAATTTCCAGAGGTCACTTGTTCTCACCCAGGACTATTTAAAAGTGTAGCCCTTCATTTCAGATTGAATTTATTGAACACCATCCACCTTGTGGAGAATCTGCACCCATCTTCCCATTTACTTCATTACCTCTAGGTGATTCATAATAGTTAATGCCATGCAAATGCTGTGTTTTTACTCCATATTGTTTAGAAAATCTCCTTTTCAGCACAGATATACCTATCGTAGGCCTGACTGCATAGCACACAGCAGCAGTAACTTAAGATTTTCAGTGTAGGGTTGGCTTAATCCAGACAGAGAGAGCTGGCCATAGTAAGCTGATGATTATTGAAGTGTTGGTTTGTACCGACAATTATGTGAAGCCCTCTTCAGGCACTGCCTTCACATCTACAGTGATCTAAAGAGATGCGTCTGCTTTGTTCAGTAAAGAAACTACGGCACCCAGAGGCAAGGCAATAAGTATCATAGCTGGACCAGGTCCCGGTGATCTGGTTGTCCATAGGTGGAGCAGGTTGCAAGGGGGAGGATTCCTTTCTACTATGCTATGGAAGAGCCAGAAGAGTGGATTTTTGTTTTGGGGTATTTGTTCATAACAGCTTTAGTCGTAATATCCCAAAATTGTAATATCCCAAGTGATCACCAACAGTAAAATGGATAAACAGGTTGTGAAATAATCTTGCAGTGGATTACTATTCAGAAGACCCTAAAGCCATGCCTGTAATGAGAACAAGCCACAAGTCACTCAGCCAGAGAAGTCTAGTGGTGAAGTAGTGGGCCCAAGAGGTGACCCAACCCTCCACCTCTTTGTGAGGCTTTACCTTCCTCCCCAGATGCTACAGGACACACACCTGCTCTTCATGCTGGGAAGGAATAAATAGACAGAAATCTCAGGCAGTGTCATAAAACCCTGGAGGATAATAAATACCTCACTGTACCTGTTTCAGAGTAGCAGCGATTGAGATATGTCATTAAAGGGTTTCTGTTTGTTTTTTATTTTTCTGTTCTGGAGGTTGAACCCAAGGCCCCATGTGTGTTAAGTGAGCACTCTCCCACTGAGGTATAATCCCCGCCTTTTAAAATTTCATTTTGAGACAGGGTCTCACTAAGTTACCAAGACTGGCCTCAAACTGCAATCTTCCTGCCTCAGTCTCCCAAGTAATTAGAATTACAGGTATGCACCACCACACCTGACTTGATTAAAGGGTTTGAAACAGGTTGGTTGCTGTAAGTGAATTTGATTTGGGGACTCTGCCTCTGGCTGCAGTATTGAGCCAGTGTTATGTGCAGGAGGACCAAAGACAGAGAGACCAGTTAGGAAGAGCTTGTACAGTAAAGAGAGGTGGTGAGGATATTCTGCCTTCTTGCAGGAACAGAGGGGATAGAGAGAGAAAACTGCATTTTTTTTGGTGGGGGGCAGGTTGATACTGCGGTTTGAACTCAGGGCTTCACACTTGCTAGGAAGGTGCTCTACCACTTGAGCCATGCTCCAGCCAACAGTGCACTTCTGATTTGGATGATTCCATGGATACTGATCTCTTATTAGGGAATGTAGGAAGAGTTCCGACCAGGCGATTTCAGTCCGGGGGCCTGTCACATACACAGGCTTGCTGTACCTTGTTGACTTGTATTTATTGCAGTATGGTTATAGTATGGTTACCCATCACATCCCAAAGCAAATGTGCATTTAACCATCCCAGTGTCACCACTTCCTGGTGTTCTTCTGCACTGCTCAGACACCTATTTCTGTCTTTTCAGCCAGAGATAAATCAGAGCGAGCTTTCGGGGTGGCCTTCGTGAAACTGATGAACCCGGACGGCACTACCTTGCAGGATGGGAGGCATGATTTGGTGGTGTATAAGGTGGGGCCAGCAGAATGAGGTGGCTGGGAAAGTATTCCTCCCTTTGTACTTGGTATTTAAAGCTCTTTTCAGATCAACGAGTGCAAATATCAGAAATCTGAAGAGTTGCATTTGTTTCCCTTACAATCAGACACCTAGAGAGCTTAGGTCATGCCTGCTACAGGGTTTTCCTTTCCTCTCTGGAGTGAGTCACATTACTGTTGAGTCTTTGAAGAGCATCTGCCACTCATGTGGAGGGTGTGCCATGGCTCTGAGTAGCAAAGGGGTAGCTTCTTCACTCCGCTCTGCGTCATCCTGCGTGGCACAGGCAGTGCCCGGTTGGGCCTGATCAGAGTGTGATAGTTATGGTAGGATGTGATTTTCATATCACCATAAACCAGATGCTGTTTCTGTGCTATCAGGCCTTGCTTCCTTTCCTGGCAGTTTGGTCCCCATTTTTCCCTTCTAACACTTGCTGAGCTGCCAGGTCTACTGAGATTTTAAGTATCACATTGATGCCAGATCATCTCATTCATTCAACAATATGGCAGCGGGGAGGAAGGCCCAATTGGCAGCTCTTCTGAGTGGTGTCTCCTGGATGAATATTTTCCTTAACAGCTCTTTAGTCTGTAAATGGTTTTGGAAGTCTCAGCTAGTTATTTCTTTCTCTGTCTACCCAATAAATATAAATGTGACCATTCACAGTTCAGAGAATGAAATCCAAACTTACTCTGTGATATATTTATTTACTTCTGGCAGGGACTGGGATAGTCTCATTTCTAGCTCACAACTCCATTTTTATTCTGTGATGTAATTATTTCTGAACTCAAACCCTGCAGAAAGCTTGTCACAATGTCTGAGTCGAAGGGGATCATGAGTAAAATATAATGAAGCCACTTGACTCCCACTGGCAGTGTCCTGCTCACCTGATAGAGTATGTTTTACTTGTGTGTGACAGATGTCGCCTGTCACCTGGTGTTCCTAACATTCTTCCTCTTCAGGGTGATAACAAGAAAATGGAAGATGCTAAATTCTACCTGACCCTGCCTGGGACCAAGGTGGAGATGGAAGAAAAAGAGCTCCTAGCATCCAAAAACATGGTGCCCTTCAATTCCAGCAAGGACAGTACGAAGGACAGTTTTCAGATTGCCACCCTTATTTGCTCCACAAAACTCACCCAGAACGGTAAGTGTGGGGCCCATATTGACACAGAGGAGCTTCTGCTTGGATCCCCCAGGTGCCCTGGTTAGACTCAGCAGTCTGGGTCATCTGAGGTGGGATGCTGCAGAGAGGTGAGCTCTCTGCTCTTCCAGTGATGTTCTAGTGTGTTGATCAAATCACAAAGCTTATCCTGAGGTTTCCTTGTCCATCTTGAAGGTAGTGAAAAGCATCTTAATACTTCTTAATATCATAAAACACATAAATGTATTCACTGACAGAGGCTGTAAAATTCAAAGCTCTTACATTTTCTTCCTTCAAGGCAGCAAAGAATTCCAGTAATGTGTTCCTTATAGTACAGGGAACAAAAGAAGTAGGTAATAAGGGAATAATCAGTCTCTTGTCCAAACAGGTATGGCAGAGAGCAGGGGTTCCTGTTAGAGTTCCTCTTTCCTGCATATTTCTTCCCTTGCTCATTTTTTTCCAAGAAGTCTGGAATTTCCCTAAAATCAGCTGAATAGTTCAAATGGGGCTCCATTTTGTTTTTCCTTCAAATCTCTGATAACAGTTTTAACCTCTTGTATATAATGTGGCAATTGAGAGCAACAGCAGCTTCTTGTTCATTTAATATACTTTGTGTAGAAAGGGTCTTGCTGAATATAGTGGGCCGAGAATTTGCTGCCCAGAGGACTGCCTCAAATTCTGTATCCCTATAGGGGATCAAACCCCTTGGCCTTGGGGATTTGTGTAAGGTGTACCTGGTATGAGCTTGGCTTTATGGAAGTGCAAAGGTAAAACAAGCAGTGTAGATACAAGGTACACTGAAGGATCAATCAGATCTTGGTTGATCTTCAGAAGGGTTCAGGACTGGGTTTATTTTTAGCAGTCATGACTGGCTAGAGAATAAAGGTGGTGTTTCATATTGGACAAGTGGCTAGACCCAGCAGAGTAAACTTCAGAGCTGAGCCATATGGGAAAGTAAAACTTAGCCAGAAAACTTGCTGAGTTTCATAGATAACATGACAAATACCGTACCAGTCACATATCCTGGATATATGGGTAACATTAATATAATACACTGCTAATAGGGACTCAGAGGTACAGCATCTGTGGAAGATGACTTTGACCCCTGGAAATTGCACTTTAGTGGCTTGAGAGATGTGCACAAAGACTTATATATGAGGCAGTTTCCCTCTATTAGAAAGGGGACATACTGGAAACAACCCACATGTCTAATAGTTGGGATAAGTTTAGATTTTATAGTGTAATTAAATGAGATATATGCAGCTGCTAAAGATTGAATTTCAGAACACAGCCAAGGACATAGCAAACTGTAACACTGTGCACACGATCCCATTTTGACTTTATATGTGGAGTCACTTTGGATCCCAAATACCTGGGTTCAATTCCCAGGTATGACATTTACTGGCTGTTTCATCTTGGGCAGTGACTTTACCTGTGGGACTTGGTGTCCTCATCTTCTAAATGACAGTGAAAATAGTACAGGTTGAGTATCCCTTATCTGAAATACTTGGTACCAGAAGTATTTCAGAATTTGGAATTTTTTTTCAGCTTTTGGAATATTTGTATGCACATGGGATATTTTAGGGATAAGACTCAATTCTACACATGAAATTTGTTTCTTTTTTGTTTGTTTCTCTCATTTGAAATTCACACATCTGTTAGCTATCATCGTCATCATTATATCTACACAGAAAAAGACTAAGAGAAATAGCTTCTTAGGATCCCAGTACTCTAGAGACTGGGACAAGAAGATCTCAAGTTTGAGGGCAGACTGGGCTACACAATGACTCCATCTCAAGAAAGAAAGAAAAGAAAAAGAAAAAAAAAACCCTCAAAAAATTTGAATAATTCTTTGAGGATATTGGTAATTGAACTCAGGACCTTACACTTGTTGGCAGGCATGCTGTCACTTGAGCCACTTCCCCATCCTGGATAACTTATTTTTTAAACTCTTTTGGTGTTTTCCACATTTGTAATTATGAAATGTCACAGTGTTGTTTTTTAAAGTATGGTAGTAGACTGTACCTAACAATAATGTGCCTGACTATCAGAAAATACTCAAGAAAGGTGTTAACTGAACATCAGGTAGATTATGCTTTCCTGATTAGAGTTCAAAAAGAACAAAGGAAACAAGGGATAAAAGTTTATAAAATTAACTTCGAATAAAAAGCAAAAGGAATTTGCATGATGACCATATTGTTGTATTGTTCCCTAAGCCAGAACTGCAGGGGAGTTTGTTGACAGGTAGCAGTCCTCAATGTAAACACCTGATACCTCCTTCACCCCTTCTCCTCGATGTTCTAAACATGTGGCCTTGATATGGTATATTAGCCATGTGTAGATTGTAAAATTTAAGTTAATTAAAACAAAAAGATGGAGGGATCAAGGAAATATTGGTCAGAGGATACAAAACTTCAGCAAGACAGTTCACAAGATCTATTTAGATCATTGACTATAGGAAATAATATATTGTATGCTTAAAAATTGGCTACAAGTAGATTGTAGGTGTTCCTGCCACAAAAAGATACAAAGTATTGTATATGTTAATGAACTTGATTTACCCATTCTGCAGTGAGGACGTATGTCAAAACATTGTTTTGTGCAGTACAGATAGAATTTTTGTCAATTTAAATTTTTAAAAATTTAAGTAAGTTATGAATCAGTGGTTTAGTGGCACTGGTCACATTTCCAGTGTGCAGTGTCATGAAGCTGGTGACCAGATAGCACAGTCCCTATTTCTGCCGTCACAGAACGGCTCGTCAGACATTGTACGCTTTGCTTTGTTGTCATCCCCATTCCTGGTGTTTATATTTCAGAAATACTGATCTCAGCATTCAAAGGAAAGGTCTTATGGAATATCTGATCCCAAAAGTCTACAAAGACAAGCCCCACCTGAGTTAGAAGGGTATGGAAGGAGAGGGGAGTAGGGAAGATGGAGACTCTGCAGAGGCATGTGAGCAAACAGGGCGTTCTTTCTAAGGGGTTCTTTGCATTCCCTTTTCTCCTGATTCAGTGGAAATTATGAAGAACCAATTAAGCTTACTCTGAGAAAGAAAAAGCTGATGTACAGTAATGAGCTGTCAGCTCTGGGGGTGGTTACTGGACAGAAGACAGCAGTCCTCACACCAGTGCAGGCTCCATGCATTCTTACTGAGGACCCTGACTCAGGCTGATGGTCAGCAGCCCTTTTTCATTGACTGATTGCATTAGTTTTTAAAGACTAGAACAGGCTCATTTGTTGGGATCATTTGTTGCTTGGTTCAGATGGAGGCTGAGTATAGATTTCTGTTCCAGGAAAGGGAGAGGGGAGCTCAGGTCCCTGCAGTGTCAGGCCTGGTTCCAGGTGATGCACACTCAGTGTCTCCTTTTCATCTCCAACACCCTGGGATTTACAGACACTGAGAGTGCCAGTCACCGTCAATTTATTATCGATCAGGTAATTGAATCTTAAAATGGGAAAATATTCTTGAGCTTCTAAGTAATGAGTGTGGACTTTGAAAACAAGTATTTATGGCTCCAATGCTAATGGGTTTTCTTCATATTTCCTTTTTTTTTTTAATTATGTGGTCCCTTTTTCTACCCTAAAAAGTAATCGCTACCCTAAATTTTGGGATTGTTATTCCCTTTATTTTTTTATAGTTTTGCCATGTTTGTATCCCTAAGAATGTATGTGTTATTTCGTTTCACATATTTCTTGCTTCATGTAAATGTAATCATTCCATGTGAATTGCTTATTTCTTTATTTCTATGAAGAACTCTGGGGATGGTAGAATGGCTTTTGGAATCAGATAAAGCTTTAAATTCCATTCCTACCTCCCCTCAGCAGTTGTGTGACCTAACACAAATAATTTAATGTTATAAAATCTCAAGTTTCCTCATCTAAAACAATGGAAAATGAAATCTCTGCAGTGTGGTCGTGATGGTGAGGTGAATTAATGCACATATGTGTATTGCTCTTTCCCTCTGAATTCTCCCAGACATAGATGGTGCCTTTTTTTTTTTGGCAGTACTGGGGCTTGAACTCAAGTCCTACACCTTGAGCCACTCCACCAGCCCGTTTTGTGTTAGGTACTTTCAAGATAGGGTTTCAAGCACACTTGGCCGGGCTGGCTTTGAACCGAGATCCCCCTGATCTCTGCCTCCAGTGGTGTGAGCCACTGGTGCCTGGCTGTGAGTACTTTTTAAGAATCTGATATCATTACTAGATAAATGTGAATTCTAGTGGGAGGTTGTTTTATGTTCTTGTGCATTAGTAGTTATTTTTTTTTCTTTGAAGAATGGAAGAGATCACATGTTTTCTCTGGCTTAAATGAGAGAGTAAATTGGAGAACATAGGAGGTATTCCTCAGACACTTCTCTTTGCTGTTGAGTTCTGTAGCCATGTCTTAAAATGGTCTGGATTTCTCCTTCTAATCATGGCTTGTGGTTCTTCTTCCCAGTTGACCTGCTAGGCTTGTTAAATTGGCGTTCCAACTCCCAGAACATTAAACACAACCTAAAGAAGCTAATGGAGGTGGATGGAGGAGAGATTGTGAAGGTATGTCTGCATCTTCATAGCTGGGAATATTCCTACTGTGTCATTAGTTCAGTGTTTTCAATTAAACCAACCACAGTAAATATGAGACTTGTTATCTATATGGCTAAGTACGTGTGCCAATGTTTTATAAAATGATATTTTTAAACCAATTCTGTGGGAACCTAATTGTTCCTGAATTTCTGCAGTGTGGAGTCCAGCGAAAGTGCCAAAGTAACTTCCGTTTTTCTTGTCTTCAGTTTTTGCAAGACACACTAGATGCTCTTTTTAACATAATGATGGAAATGTCTGACAATGAAACGTATGACTTCCTGGTGTTTGATGCACTGGTAAGCAGTTCAACCTGTTAACTAGTGTTCTTACAGCTGTGTAGTTTTCAGTATTTCACTGTTGTAAGTGATTGCTATGAATATCCTCCTGCATAATTATTTGTATTCGTGTCTGATTATTTCTTTAGGCTAAATTCCCAGAAGTATTAGAAACAAATGACTTATATTCCAGCCCCTATTTCTTTTTTTTCTGTTAGAGCTCACTTTTTTCCACATGGAAAAATGAGGGGCTTCAGTACGTTAGAGACCACTAAACACTTTGACTCACTTTCCCGTTGTTCATTTCAAACCTAGGAGGTGCCCTTAACAAAGGTTATTTCTTGGTGTGGATGTGGTGCCCTTAACTGCTTTTGCAAGGGAGGCAGATTCACAAGTCAGAGATGAATCTTAGTGCCTTTAGTTACTACATGCAACCTAGGAGAGAGTTGAATTTGTCACAGAGTAATTTTTTTAAATTTTTATTTTTGGTGGTACTGGTGTTTGAACTGTGGGCTTCATGCTTGCTAGGCAGATGTGGTGATGCTTGAGCCTCGTCTCCAACTCTTTTTTGCTCTGGTTACTTTTGAGATGGGTTCTTGGTTTTTGTTACTCAGACTGGCCTGAACTGCCATCCTCCTATTTATGCTTCCCATAGTAGCTGGGATGACTGGCATGCTCCAACACACCCAGCTTTTTCTGTTGAGATGAGGTCTTGTGAACTTTTCCCTCTGGCTGAGATGGAATCTTGATCCTCATGATCTCCACATCTGAATAGGTAGGATTTCAGGCTTAAGCCACTGGTGCCTGGCTAACACCAAGTACCTAAATGTATAGCCCATTCTAAGAACTGAAATCAAAATAGGGATTAATGATGATCAGAATCTGGGAAAGCAGAGGCAGTAGAGGGGAAGCTTAGCACACTCAAGCCAGGCCTGGCTTCCTCATTGGTGGCTGGACGTTCAGAGCAAGACTTTACCTTCATGGTGCAGTTGAGGAGAAGGTGGATTGCAGCTGTGACTCATTTGTCAGCTCAGAGAAACTGGAAGTTCAATTAGTGGTCAGGGCATGAAAACTCAGATGAAGAGAGGAAGTCACCTGGCTAAGATGAACCCCATCAAGTTCATCTCTCTTTGCTGGGAAACATACTATGGTTAGGCATACCATGGAACCAGCTCTGGAGCCAGATCCCTGCGGGACACTGTAGCTGGCCATGGGTGTGTATAGAAGTGCCAAGTATTTCTGCCTTTGCACACCTTTATCTTATGTAAGCGCAGTGTGGTTATTCGTACATTACATACCCAGTAGCCAATAATAAGTAACATACAAGGCGGGAATTGGGAGACCAAACTTTGGTGAGGTTCAAATAATTGCAGGCTCTGACATTCACACAAAGGAGAAAAATGTCATGGGATGCTTCATTAGCTATCGCCATGGTGAGAGTTTATATTTCCCATGGAAAGCCCCTATCAGTGTCCTCTTCTTCCTGCCCCATTTTCCTCCCTGACTTATGTCACCTGTGCACTGATTCTGTTTGAGACAGTAGCTCCTTGAGGCTGTGGGTGCTGGCTTGTATTGGTTTATCTGTAATCATTATTCCTTGACCTCGAGCACAATCATTTCTTTCTCTTCATGTAAAATAGATGTAAACCCTAAGACTTGACCTAGCTCTGGAATGGTAGAGTAGAAATGCCACACAAATGATGAAGAGAAAAAAGTTGTTAAAATCCAGCTGTGGCCAGTGCCTGGGCTGTGCAGTGCTGCTATCGATACTGTCCTCCTTTGGCAGGTATTTATCATTTCCCTGATAGGAGACCTCAAGTTCCAGCATTTTCATCCTGTACTTGAGACCTACATTTACAAGCACTTCAGTGCCACTCTGGCATATGTGTAAGTATAACTCAAGGGGACAATGTGATGGTGAGTTGTTGGGCTTGTACTCCTTGGGCTGGATGTTTGAGAAATGAGAGTACCCCACATGCAGTAAATGTACCCGTGAGTGCAGGACTTGGTTCTAAGTATCCTGGTAGAAAGAGGGAACCGTCTGACTGTTCTACCCCTGGAGAAGGTGTCAGGTTCAGGCCCTTCCTTCTGGATAAGGCTGTGTTTCTTCAACAATCCAGAACATACAGTGAGGATTTGAAGCTAGTTAGGAGCAGAATCTAGGACAGGTGACCAAACTCAGAATCTTAGGAATTGAATGTCAGTGAGATGGACATGAGGCAGAGACCAAGAGAGTCAAGTAGTGAATCCAGTGAGACCAAGTCTGTCAGAAAACAGGTCATGCCCTCAACCCTGATCCACAAGTGCTTTGTGGAATCAGTTACTCATAGGATATGAGAAGATTTGGTTTTTCTTTCATTTACCTAACAAGGAGTGGTTTCTACCTTTTCTGTAGAGTAGCCCTCTTCCTTGTGAACCCCTGAGGGGAAAAAACTTGTGTTCATTCTGGCTTCTCCCTGGGGTGCTCAGCTCACCATGGTGTTGTATATGGCCTGTCACCCCCTCTCCCCCTTTGCATTTGAGTTACTGTGCAGAACGATGCAATAAACAGTGACAGGAGTGTAGCTAGGACAGGTAAACAATCTTTTAGACAATAGCTTATGTGAGATCATGTCGATTGCTGCTGGTTGATGTGTCAGATCAGATCATTGATCCCTGGTGTTCTTTTTTAAACTAAACAAGCATGAAGGTACAGAAATACAAGTTACACAAAGGAGGTGTCATGGAGCATAGTCACAAGCTACCCTGATGCTTGTAATTGGGGAGGCAGCAGATAGGCCATCAGTAGAGTTATTTCTTCCCAGCACTTTCAGCTACAAGCAAGGAAATCCTGCTACTCTGGATCCTAATTACACTGCGGCAGATGAGACCTTCCAGGTGAACTTTGATTCACAGTCTTTCTGCCTAAATCCCACATGTGGGGATCACAGGTGTGTACCACCACACCCAGCTCCTAAGTGAACTTTCAAAGGCCAAGGAAACAAGACCACAGAGCAACACACAGACAAGGAAGCAAGTGAGGAACACAGAGTCCAAAGTCAGAATGTCATACACCTGCCTGAGAGCACCCATTTAACACCTGCAAGCTACACGTACCCACCATAAAGCACTCAGTCAATTTGCAAAGACTTCACTTATCTGCCTGGATTATTTAGAACACTCAATTAATTCTACATGTTTCCTTTGGATTTTGTGCTAATTTTAGAAAAACTCAGATTCCCTAAAGGAAAGCTTGAAATACCAGTACCCTCAAAAGTCTGATTTAGCATGAGATCAAGACTATCCATAGTCAAAAGACTAGACAGACATGAAGAGCACTCTAAAATCCCAGAAGACTTTTGTCTGTCTACATGATCAGAACCAGGGATGTTCTAGAGAGTCAGATTGAGCTCCACTTCCACACTCAGTAAAGTTTCCATCTGGTGCCATACTTTTGGATCATTAAAGGGCAGGACTAAGTGGAAGGGATTAGCTCTATAGTGACTGCCTTAAGTAGGCCTCATCTCTTCACAGGACCATCTGAAGATGTCTGCCTTACATGGCAGAGATTAAAACACCCTCATAATTTGAATCCCTTCAACCCTTTCTCTCTCTCTTTTTTTTTTTTTTTGGTGGGATTGGAGTTTGAATTCAGGGATTTGTGCTTGCAAAGCAGGCACAAATAGACCTCTAGTCTATTTTGCTCTGGTTATTTTGGAGATGGGGGTCTCAAGAACTATTTGCCTGAGCTGGTCTCAACCATGATCCTCCCAATCTCAGACTCTCAAGTAACTAGGATTACAGGCATGAGCCACTGGCACCCAGAAAATCTTTCATTTCTTGATCCTTCTTTTGAATCCCACAAAAGGGAAAGGAACCTTACAGCAGAAAGAAAGTTCCAAACCTAGACTGCAGATAAGCAAACTACGTTGCAGAAGAGTGAGTTTACCTGCTCAGGTCGTATTCTAGAGGGCATAATGAGAGTTACACCTTCTACTTCCCTGTGTGCCACGTTGCCTAGTAGGTAGCATCGTCCAAGCCTCAGCGCACCACATTGCCCATGCATTATTTTTCTTTCTCCCCTTTTAAGGAAACTCTCCAAGGTACTGAACTTCTATGTGGCAAATGCAGATGATGCAAGCAAGACAGAGTTGCTCTTTGCTGCCTTGAAAGCCCTGAAGTACTTGTTTAGGTTCATCATCCAGTCCCGTGTGCTGTACTTGAGGTAACGGTCACTGTAGTGAGATGTGTATCCATCACTGCTGCTCCATGTGGGTTCCCTTACTCCTCACACTTGTGCCTAGCTCCATGTGCAGCTGGTCATGGAGTTGCTGTCTTTCAGAGCTGTCTTTCAGGACTGAAGATGGAAGTGGGTTATGAGCCCACTGGAGAAGGTCTATGGGCAGTCCTTTTGCACCAGCAAAATTCTAAAGCAGTAATGTCAGGAGGACTACAGTGGCTAAATGTGCCCCTCCCTGGAAGTCTTGCTTGGTGATGAGCTCTAGGGAGGCAGCTTCCTATGGCAAGTAAGGAGCTCAGGTCTTCTGAGTTAGGTGGAAGGCATTGGGGGATTTCATTCAGCGGAGTAATAAAATCTGGCTTACATTTTAAATGCTCATTTCCTGGATGGAAGATGGATTATAGAAGGCTGAGAGTGAACACCAGAGGCTCTGTGTGAGACATGGTGGCTCTGTCTTAGATGCAGAACAGAGAGAGTGGACTGATGAGGGAGATAGAGCTAATTGGACTGGTTACTGAATTTGTGGGGCAATGAGAGAGGGAGGACCATAGATTATCTTGAGGTTTGGGCTGAGTAATAGTGCTGTTTGCTAAAACTCAGAGTGCTGAGAGTTGAGCAGGAAAGTCAAGTGAGTTCTGGTTTAGCTATGTTAATTTTGAGATACTCTGGGAGCTAACTTTCAAGAAAAGTTCTTTTCTAGTTCTGCCAAGTGAATGAATTGGGAATTACAATTACCCTACAATTGAATAATTTCTCAGTGGAGTTCATACCCTGTGGGTACTGTGTAAGGTACACGTTGAGACCAAAAGTGGTTTAGATTTCAGACTTTTTAAAATTAGATTTGGGAATATTTGTATATATATAATGAGGTATTTGGGGGATGGGATCAAACTCTAAATACAAGCTAATTTATTTGTGATTCATCTATACCTTATGCACATAGTCGGAAGATAATTTTATACAATATTTTTAGTGTACCTGCATTTTGATTGCAACCCATTACATGAAGTTAGGTGTGGAATTTTCCACTTGTGGTGTCATGTTTTGGATTTTGGACCATTTCGGATTTTGCATTTTCAGATTGAGGTACCAATGTGTATGAATGAATGGAGGAGAAAAAGTAAATATATGTGTTTGAGTGTATACATAAAATTCTGAATTCCCTGTGCCTCCTCATGACCAGCTGATGGCAAAGCTGCCCCTCAATGATTAAGCATGGGTGCTACCATTTAGAACTTTTGGATTTCTGATAAATTGGCCATAGACCTCTTGATTTGTACTTAGGAGAAAGAACCAGCTTCTGAGTCAATGGTAGATGTTATGAAGAGAAGTAGAGTACTTTAATCAAAGCAAGTGCGTGTGCAGGAAGTTGAAGACCCTTGTGGGAGAGCAGGCCAGCAGCTTCCTGGCAGTACAATGGGTAGAGTGGATGCTCTCTAGTTCTGTAGGCTGGGCTGGGATCAGAACCCATTTGTGCCAAGAAGCTTCTCTACCTATTGTCTGGAACCTCGGCTCACAAAAATGATCAAGGCTTGATGAGAGACAATAATAATTGTGATAATTGGGGTGAGCAAGAATAACAAGGGTGAGGTGGTGGAGGGAGGAAGGAGGAAAGGAGTGATATGCAGGAGAGGGAGTGGCAAATGTGCTGTGTCAGGGACATTTTCTGTGGGAGGCTCCTATCTGTCAGACTTCTGCTAGTGGGCCAAGGAAGGTGGGCACACAGGGCGCACCTGCTACATTAGGCACAGTGACTTTCTGTTGTTCTTCTTTTTGCTGGAAATGCCCATAAACCACTAGAAGAGAAGGCCACACATCCCTGGGCTTGGGGCCCTCCAGAGATGTTCACGGGGCAGCTGGAGAGCCCTTTGTTAGGACACCTTCACCTGCTCTTGTCTAGGTGGCGTTGTCTTTTTAGTCCCTGGGAAACATTTTAGGGTGTACCCTATGAGATATGTTTGCATAATTTGAGGTGGTGACCAACAAGGCACTGACCTCAGTGTTGCTTTATTGAAGGCACAGTCTATTTTAAAATTTCTTTTAAAGATGGAAAATCCAACTGTTTTTTCTCCTTTTCCTGTTAAGATTTTATGGTCAAAGCGAAGATGGAGATGAATTTAATAACTCAATTCGGCAGTTATTTCTTGCTTTCAATACACTAATGGACAGGCCTCTGGAGGAAGCTGTCAAGATCAAGGTTAGCATGGGTAACTTATAAGGCCATGGGTGAAGATGTTCTGGATAGCAGAACTGACTGTGGTGGGGGAGGAGCAAAGTGAATCATGAGTCATGGATAGCTTGTGAATTTTAGTAGGACTTACAGAAGTAAAGGACAAAGAGGGCTGGGGGTGTAGCTCAGTGTCAGGGACACTGTCGGGTAGACAAAGTACCTTTTATGCATATGGCCCTGGGTGCTATCCCCAGCACCACAAAACAAAAACAGAATAGAAATAAAGGGAAAATCCTACATTTTAACTGTTAGATACATTTCTGTTTTCAGTGTCTGTGTGCAAGACGGAGGCTACCTGTTTAGACATCCCTAGTATAGTTGTTGTAACCCCTGTTTGACCTTCTGATTTTAGCAAACTGCTCCCCATGCCGTTATAGGTGACAATTTTCTATTTTAGTCCTCTCCCTCCTCCTAGAAGTACACCACCACCATCATCCTGGTCACAAGCAGCTTTTCTAGAATGTGAGATACCTAACCCTGAAGTCTTCAGTTTTGAACTTCTAGTCTTTGCTCTTTCTGGTAACTTTGTGAGGGAGAGTCTAAGAAATCAATCACCTCCTTTGCTAGAAGAATGAATTCCACATGGATAGTGCCTGCTGGTTGTGAAGACAGAGGCTTTAGGAGTCAGGTTCATCCCCATCAGCTTTCCTCCTCCTTGTGAGGACCTCTGAGGGGGGTTTTCTCCTGGGATCAGCAGCCAGCTCTGTTTTTGTCTTGCTTGGCAACTGACTTTGCCTCTGGTGCGGTTCTTACAGGGGGCAGCTTTGAAGTACCTCCCCAGCATCATTAATGACGTCAAACTGGTGTTTGATCCTGCAGAGCTCAGGTAACTAGCAGCAACCATTTGTATCTTGAGTCTTAACAGAGAAGCAGCCCCCTGCTGGGTGAGGTCTGGGTGGCTCCCCAATGCTTTGTGCTCTAACAAGTACTGAAGAAACGCTTTTTTGTGCTCAGTTCTGGGGAGGGTGTCAAAGAGCCCACAAAGCTTGCCCTTGAGAGAGGTTGCACTTTCTCTGGGGAAACAAGGCCTGCAGACAGAAAATGAACTGCAGAAAAAGTACATGGTCACACACTTCCAGCCCTACACACAACACCCCAAGAACATGGAGGCAGCTGTAGTCCACACCGGAGTGAAGTTAGCCACAAACACGAAAGACCTTCTACAGAAGCTGAGTGTTGGGGCAGGCCTGGAGGGCGATGGTGGGTGGCAGTGGTTGAGCAGCCAGGGCAACAGCTCTGAGGCAGTCTCTAGGGAGCAGGGGTTCAGGCCCTGGTAACACCCCCAGCGGTCAAGTCAGCTGGGAGTTTTCAGCATGGAGGAAATTGTCATGGTGCCTTTGGCTCAGCAGAATTAACACACTGACCCTGGGGTTTCTCTTCCAGCATGCTGTTCTGCAAATTCATTCAGAGCATTCCTGACAACCAGTTAGTCAGGCAGAAGCTTAACTGCATGACCAAGATAGTAGAGAGTAGTCTCTTCCAACAGGCAGGTAAGTCACCCCAGGAACTGCTGCCTCCTAAACGCAGTCAACACTTACTTGTCTTGTTTTTCTGTTTGCTTGTTTGTTTGTTGAGGGGTTTGTTTGTTTGTTTTTGATGGTACTGTGGGTTGAGCTAAGATTTCCCACTTGCTAGGCAGGTGCTCTACCACTTGAGCCACTCCACTAGCCCCTACCTTCCCCCCATTTTTTTTAACCCCCTTGGTTATTTTTGAGTTAGACTCTCACTTTATACTCAGACTAGCCTGGCCCACAGTCCTATTTGTGCTTCCCATGGAGCTGGGATGACGTGCATATGCCCCACACCCAGCTTCATATTAGTTGAGATGGGACTTACAAACTTTTTCCCCAGGCTGGCCTCCAACCTCAGTCCTCCTAATCGCTGCCTCCTGAGTAGCTAGTAGCTAGGATTACAGTTGTGAGCCACCATGCCTAGCTTTTTTTTTTTCTTTTTTTGTTGGTACTGGGGTTTGAACCCAAGGCCTCATGCTTACTAAGCAGGCACTCTACCACTTCAGCCACTCCACTAGTCCTTTTGTGCGTTAGGTATTTTTGAGACAGGATGTCCCAAACTATTTGCCCAGCTGGCTTTGAACCACAATCCTCCTAATCTCTGCCTCCTGAGTAGCTAGGATCATAGGCCTGAGCCACCAGTGCCCGGCTGTGGTTATTTTTTTTTTAATGCCAATAATGTCCTTACCAGTTTGTTAAATACGTAAGAACCTACAGAGAAACCAATTTTAAGAAGCTGAAGTCAAGGGCTGGCTGAGTGGCTCAAGTGATAGAGTGCCTGCCTAGCAAGTGTGAGGACCTGAGTTCAAACCCAAGGACAGCCAAAACAAACAAGGAGCCGAAGTCAAGCTGGACATGGTGGCTTATGCCTATAATCCTAGCTTCTCAAGAGGCAGAGATCAGGAAAATCATGGTTTGAGGCCAGCATGAGCAAAAAGTTAGTGAGACCCTGCCTCAAATAATAAGCCATGCATGGTGGTACATGTCTGTAATTCCAGATATGACATAGGCATATGTAGGAGAATTGTGGTCCCTGACCCCAGGGAAAAGCTCAAGACCCTTTATGAAGAATAACTAAAGCAAAAATAGCTGGGTGTGTCGTTCATGTGGTAGAGCCCTGCCTAGCAAGCATAAGGCCATGAGTTCAAACCACAGTGCCTGAAGAAAAAAAAAAAGAAGCCAAATCAGTTTCACATTTCTCATAGTTACTAAGAGAGCAAAATCATATGTCTTATTTTTAATCAGCAAGCTGATTCACTATTTAGAGAACTTTGTCCTCAAAAGAGGAATTGCAGAAAATGACAGGCAAGTTCCTCTTTGACCTACACTTAGTGCATAAATTCACAAACCAGGGACAGGTGTGTGGCGTGTAGCTATGTGCAGATCCCCCGAGCTGCCTCAGAAGTGCTGATTCTGGGCTTCTCTCTCCATTCCATGGTCCACACCAGTAGCTGGAAGGTGACCCTGATAGAAGTATTTTCAGGAGGGAAACCAGCCAACATGTCAATCGGGGCTTTGTTTTAGAGGCTGACAGAACCTGATGACCAGTGTTCGCCTGGGAAAGGAAACTGCTGCTGATAAAATACTTTCATTTTGTAAGCAGAGTCAAACATGTCATCTCTGTGCTCCTGTCCTAAGCTGACATGAGCAGGAGGTAACGCCTGTGGTCCTCCTTATAATCCCAAGCCTTGCTAGTGTGGAGCAGCTATGGAAACTCCACCACCAGGTGAGGGAGTCCCAGAGGGTGTCCGTCCTCGTATTAAACCATCAGTCCAGCAGCGTCCCCGGAAGTCAGAAAAGTTGAGTGCATTGTTAGTGGGAGAGGCCTCCATGGCTGGTTAGGGACTGCCACACAGATGCGTGCCCTCCTCTAAGTCTCAGCTTCTGTTTCTATGGAAAGAAGGACAGGAACCAGCTGATGTCAGTATCTTTTGTCTCTAATATTTTCTGACCCCATTAATTTGTGATGTGGAATTTCAAATGTCCCTAAGCACATCGTTGGAGGTAGTGCTAGTGCCTTAAGAAAGCCAGTGAATGTTTTTCATCCTGTGCCACAGTTAACTCTGCTTCAGAGATACCAAAAAGACAGCAACAACGGGGTGGTGGGGGACAAGAGCAAGCACATAGCTTTGCTTAGGAGAGGTAGGGTCTCTGCTGATGGTCACTCCTATAGGGTCCAGAGAACCCAGACTCATAATATGTTGTCATAGAGAAGATCCCAGTAGGAGGACACAGTAAGTCATTCTCCTTTTCACAAGCCATGTGCCTGCACAGACGTGACAGAGTGTACTAGAAATCAGTGTCCACAGGAATTTTATAATACATTTTCTCCATCAGGTGAAAAGAATTTTTTTTTTACCATTACTATGTTTTGAACTCAGGGCCTCACACTTGCTAGGCAGGCATTCTACTACTTGAAGCCACTCCACCAGCCCTTTTTGCTTTAGTCTGTTTATTTAGACAGTGACTTATACTTTTGCTCTGACCACCCTTGGATTGCAATCCTTCTACCTCCCAAAGAGCTGGAATAGTGCACAGGGCTTGCTTAGTTTTTATTTGGCATTTTAAAAAGCTAAAGAAGGGTTGGAGGTGTAGCTCAGTGGTAGAGTGCATGCTTAGCATGTGTAAGGCTGTGGGTTCAATCCCCAGCACTACAAACATAAAAAAACAGATAAACTGGAAAAATTGCTAAATAATATATACATTTCATTGTAAGGGCTGGGGTTGTAGCTCAGTGGTAGAATGCTTGCTAGGTATGTGAGAGGCCCTGAGTTCCATCCCCGGCACTGAAAAAAAAAAAAAAAAAGTAAGCATTGTGCTAAATCCTCACAGTTTCCTGTGGTAGGTGTATACCTTAGTGTGTTTAATCCAGGGGCAAGGCCAAACTTCCATGCCTAAAACCATGTGATCCCTGGAGGGCCTGCATTCTGCTGTGCTGTTAAAGGGAGCTTTGGGGACAGGCAGAGAGCTGCAGAATGGCTGGCTGTTCCACAGCTGGCCCTGCCATTTGTGAGTGTCTATGTTTTCTTCCTCAGAATGCAGAGATGTGCTGCTGCCGCTGCTGACGGACCAGCTCAGTGGCCAACTGGACGACCACTCAAGCAAGCCTGACCATGAGGCCAGCTCACAGCTGCTGAGCAATATCCTCGAGGTGCTGGACAGGAAGGATGTGGTGAGTGGAGTCATCCTCCAGGCGCACGTGCCTGAGCAGGTGCCTCAGCACTCCGCAGGAGAGACTCCTCAGTCTCCTGCCTGGGCAGGTTAGAACCTGGGCACTGGAGCAAGCTGTGCTCATTTTAGAGGTGCGTAGGCACACCAGAACCTCCTTGGCAAGTCCAGGTCCAGTCGAAGTCAGCTTACCTCTGGGGCCTCTGCTGGCTGGTTTTCCCAGCTTGCCTGGTTGCCCTGCCATTTAGAGACCTGTGCATGCTCTTAAGAACTTGTACATTTGCTGAGACCATGGAAACTTTTTCCCCAGAAACCTCTGCCCTCCATCCTCGTGCATGACTCTGTTGGCGATATTCCTGTGTTTCTTTTTATATTCATCCTCTCTGACACTGTTGCTTTCTCTAGAGCCTGGCGGAAATTACGTTTTCTTAGTGTGCCTCTTCTCTGTGATGTAGCCCCCAAATGCCCCTGAAAACATGGGGCTGAACCCATCTGAATTTACCACTTCCTTTAGATAATTCAGCCCACAGGCCTGTGCAGGCCCCGCAGGAGAGGCTGGAGAACATTGCAGAATGTGTTCAGTTGACTGGTCGAGGGCCCAGAAGAAAAGGCATCTAATCCCAGCCTGCAGTCTGCATCCCACGATGGCTGTATGCCACAGGATGCCTGAGGAACCCGGAATCACTCTTCACTTTTGCTCAAACCCTCGTGTGTGTGTGTGTGTGTGTGTGTGTGTGTGTGTGTGTGTGTGGTACTAGGGTTTGAACTCAAGGCCTCACACTCACTAGGCAAGTGCTCCACCACTTGAGCCATTCTGTCAGCCCTGTTTTGCATTAGGTATTTTTGAGGTTCAGTCCCAAAAACTATTTGCCCAGGCTGGCTTTGAACCATGATCCTCCTGATCTCTACCTCCCAAGTATCTAGGATTATAGGCGTGAGCCACCAGTACAGGCCTTGCTCGAACCCTCTTAGCAGTATCTTTAAATTCAGTTACGCCAAGGATGTGGAGAATACTCACACCTTTTCCCTTAGCTCACCTGTCCAGGTCCCCAGTTTGGCCATCACCTACTTCATTCCCACGGGCACTTCTGCATTTCTGCCACTCCAGCCTCAGAAGCAAGCGAGAATATTATGGCTTTCTCCAGCTCTTCCCTGACCTCATCGCCGCCCCCCGCACTGTGTTCAGAGCCTCTGGAGCCCACTTGCTGTTTGCAGCATGGATTTGATATTTAGTCAAAATAGGTGATCCTCCCCCCACCTTTTGTTTCTTAAATGTGTCCCTAGACTCATTATAAAATGGAGTAAACTTTCCCAAGGACTGTTGTGATTAGCGATTTGATTCCTAACCAAAGCTTTTGCAGCAAATAATCAAATGTGACCGGCTATGTCATAAACAACATTTCATTTAAAGTCACCCTTATGACTCAGTAAATATTTAAAGTAGTAGAACCAAATTCTAAGCCCTATGCGTCTGGCAGCAGTAAACAAGGTGCTTTGGGCTGGCCAGGGTCCCAGTGTTCTAGGAAGCACCCATCTGTTATCTAAAGTTAATTGGAAACAGACGAATCAGGGTGTGGGTGTTTGATTTCTAGTCCCAGTGTGACCAAGGCAGCAACTTGTCCTCAGGTGAATCCTCAGCGCCTCAGTTTCCTATTCAGTAATAGGATCTGTTCTAGATGGCCTCCTACATCTCTTCCCCTTCTGATTTTTTAAAGACAGACAGATAGACAGCAGATACAGGTATAGATACATAGATATGGGCATAACCATCTCTGCCACCTTCTTCCTGAAGTACTCCTCAGAAATGACTTGAGTGTATTTAACTCCTCTGCAAGGAGATTTGTGATTTGATTTAATTGTGCTTTTTCTTTTCAATAACATCCCCTGTAATGAGAAGAGACATTCAAAACTATTGACCTTGGAACTTGAAGTAGTAAGTGCAATAGTTTGATCATGGTGGGATTTTTGTTTTGATTTGATAAATTATTAGTGCATACCAGCTCTACAAAGAGGTTTTCCATCCATGCATATATGTACTTTGATTGTTTGCCTCCTCTATTTCTTTCTCATTTCTCCTCCCCTGCTTTTTAAAATAGTTTCAAGAGATTTAATTACTCCATTTTCATGCATGTATATAAAGTACTTCAGCCATATTTATCCCCCTGTCACCCTCTTTTCACTCTCCCCCCACACTGGATCCCACCCAGTCCTATTTTATACTCCTGTCATTTGTTCTTTAAGATCTAAATTCTATATATGAGAGAATAGATGGTATTTCTCTTTCTTGGTCTGGCTCATTTCACTTAACGTGATGATCTCTAGTTCCATCCATTTTCCTGTAAATTACATAATTTCATTCTTTATGGATGATTAATACTACATCGTGTATATACACCACATTTTCTTCATCCATTCACTGGTTGATGGGAGCATGGGCTGATCCCATAATTTGGCTATGGTGAGTAATAAACATGGGTGTCCATGGATCTTGATTTAGCTTCCTTTAGGAATATGCCCAGGATTGGTACAGCTGGATCATATGGTAGCTATACTTTTAGGTTTTTGAGGACCCTCCATACTGATTTCATACTGGCTACACTAAGTTACATTCCTGACAACAGGGTATGGGTTCCTTTTCTCCTGCTTCCTTGCCGGCATTTGTTGTTCTTTTTTTTGTGATAGTCATTCTGACTGGGGACAGATGATGTCTCAGTATGGTTTTGATTTGCATCACCTTTATGGCTAAGATTGTCGAGCATTTCTTCATATATTTATTAGTCATTTTTACTTCTCTTGAAAACTGTAGGTTCAGTTCATTTGCCAATTTATTAAATGGACTATTCTTTTATTATTTAATTTTTGGAATTTTTTATATATTCTGGATATAATTCTTTATTTGATGAATATATGGCAAAGATTTTCTCCCATTCTGTAGGATTTCTCTTGATCCTTGTCCTTGTTTGCTTTGCTGTGCAGAAGCTCCTTAATACAATTCCCTTTGTCAATTCCTGCTCTTGTTGCCTGAACTATTGGGGTCCTATTCAGAAAAGCCTATTCAGAAAACCCTAGATCTTCAAGGGTTTCTCCTATGTTTTCCTTTTGCAGTTTCAGAGTTTTGGGTCTTACATTAAGGATTTTGGTCCATTTTGGTTTAATTTTTTGTACAGAATGAGAGATGGATCTAATTTCATAATCAGTTTTCCTAACATCATTTAATTTTCCTGCCTCAAACTCCCAAGTGCTGGGATAAAAGGCGTGTACCTCCACCCCAGCCTGTGTAATCATTTTAAATGTGTGAACTTCCTCAGTGTGTCTTCCCTTAGCCCGTCTTCTCAGTTGGCGCAGGTCCATAATCACTGGCATTCGGTCCTCTTGCCTTTTGTGTAGTCCAGCATCCCTCCTCTTCTCATGACTCTGTTTTGGAATCATCCTTGTTCTTTCCTGCAGCTGCAGTGGTGCCCGGTGCAGCTGTTCCTGGCGCTGTCCCACCCAGCCTCCACACCCTGCCACTCCCTTCACTTCCCTTAACATCTCTCTGAGGCTCTCATCATTCTGTACCTTGAGTTATGAATTCAGTTCACACATACTTATTAAACTCCTCATACCTAGCACTAGGATTGGCTACGGCAGTGGTTTTAAACAAGAGATGTGTACCCTGCCCCAGGGAGCCGACTTGGTGCTGGGAGGATCCATGTGCTGCTTGTTTATAGCCAAGTGCCCTCTCCCCCACTGAGTATAAATCTGTGGCTCCCAGGCACCTTACTCACCTGATTTACACCCCTTCCAAGGCCAGGAATGTGACTTAGAACTTGCACACCTAGTTAGGGCTATGGAAAGGAAATGTTACATAAACAGCAGTGAAGCCAGCATCTCCAGGACAGGCAGGTTTTCTGAGTCACTTTCCTTCTCAGAGAAGGGAAGCAAGAAAATGAATAATGAAAAGCAAGGAAGTGGAAAAGAGAATGAGGGAAGAAGGACAGAAATGTTACAAATACTCAATACTTTAATGAAAATACACATAGCAATGGATCAGACACTTATATGTGGAAGCAAAAAAGTTGAACTTATAGAAACAGACTAGAACTGTGGTTGGGGAGGCAGGGAAGATGTTAGTCAAAGGGTGAAAACTTCTTTTTAGTTATAAGAAGATCAGTTCTTGAAGTATAATGTAGCACATGAGTGGTGATGGATGTGTTAATTTGATTGTAGTAATTGTCACACATTATATATGCATCACTTAATTATGTATATATACACACATATGTACATATATATATATATATATAATTACGTTGTGCACATTGGTTTATACAGTTTTGCCAGTTAAATATTTTTAAAGTAATAAATAAAATATTAATTAACAAAATGTACATAGCAGTGGTTGAGTTGACATAGTTAAGCAGGGATTTCAAAACAGCTATCATGAAACAAGAATGGATAAAGGCCCTGAAAGGTCAAGTTGAATGTTGATAAAGCTGGAGCTGAATGAGAGCAGCATCTTGCTAAAGAAAAGGGAAGGAAGGAAAAAGCAAGAATGCACATGTTAGGTGCTATTGTCTTGCAGCCCAGCTAATTCCTGTAAGAAAATGATTATCATCTGCCTTTTGCTGCTGTGAAAACTAAAGCCCAGCAAGCAAAGTGAAAGTGAAATAATGGCTCCACACAGCAGAGTAGGAATGTTAAATCCTGTAATGGTTTGCTCAGTCTTCCATAACACACCAAAGACATGGTGATTTAAACAACAGGGATTTGTTTTCTCACAGTTCCAGAGGAAGTCTGAGGTCAGGGTCCTACACAGTCTAGTTCTGGTGAGGGCTGTCTTCCTAACTTGCAGATGGTCACCATCTCCTCTTGTGCTCGTACGGTTTTCCTTGGCAGGTACACGAGGCAAGAGAGAAAGAGAAAGCAAGCATGTGCACATGTGCATATAAGCTAGTGTCTGTTCTATAAGGTACTAATCCCATCAGACCAGGGCCCCACCCTCATGACCTCATCTAACCTTAATTACCCCCCAAAGAGCCCATCTTCTAATACCATTGGGTAAGAAGACCTCAACATGTATCTCTGGAGGAGATACAACATTCACTCTACAACAAACCCCTCAACTTGAATTTCTTCTCTTTTTTGCCCTACACAGAAGGTGGTAAGAGCATTGTATTGTTGCCTTCCCACCCCACTCCCCCCCACTGAAGGTCCTGGATTTTCCTCATCTGTTCAACATCAGAACTAGGTACCACCTACAAGTCCCTCAAATTGTCTGTGGCCTTGGTGAGCTCAGAGAGAGAGAGCTGGGTTTTTAGGGGAGCCCTTGCTCCTGCATACCTACATTCATCTTCAAAGGAATCCTCCACAGATTCCTTTGTAAAGTGATATGTTATTCCATGACACCATCTTTCCCTTTGGGAAAAGAGATTGCTTTATAGAGAAAGCTAAGGCGAGAGAATTCTCCTGGGTGAGGTCCCCTGGAGAAGGAGGTAGGAACTTAGAAGGAATAATGGGTGTCACGGCCTGTGTTTCCCCCACAGGGGCCCACGGCAGCACACATCCAGCTGATCATGGAGCGTCTGCTGCGAAGAATCAACAGGACAGTGATCGGGATGAGCCGGCAGTCTCCCCACATTGTGAGTGTCAGCGATCACATGGACGCAGGGATGACTGAGTTCACATGGCCCCCACATCACAGGCAGACCTCAGGTCCAACGTGGCTTTTCTGTTCCACGTTGGAATGTTCTCCCTTTAGTTAAAGAAAAGGACAAATGGTGTAGACTTGTGATTAGTGCACTTTTCCAGTGGGCAGTGTTTCACTGGCCTCTTCTGTTCCATCCACTGTGTCTTCAACAACTGCCAATAAAGAGTAATTGAAACTGGAGGTAACTGTGGAAAGGCCAAGTGGTATTGTCGTTCTGATGAAGCATCTATTCATTGTGCTCAAAGCTAAGGTTAGATTTAAATTAGGGGACACAGGAAGGAACTATCTCAAATTGCTGTCATAAATTTAAAAAATTCAACAAGCCAAGCTCTATTCTGGATACTGAGCTAAACCACAAATAATTAAACGGTTGAAACTTCTGCTTTTGAGGGACTGACATCCTGATAGTAATGACAATAAAAAAGTAAGCTAGAGGGAACGCTAAGCTGATCAGAATAAGGTGATTCAAAATTTTCCCCAATTTATCACCTTGGGGAAGATGATAAAATTTGGGCAGAAACTTGAAGCAGGTGAAGGAGTAGCTGTGTAGCTATATGGGAAGGGTTTTTCAAGAAGAGGCACAGCTAGGCAAAAGCCTGACAGTGTGCCTTTTAGAATCACAAAGGGCAAGAGAGCTGATCCCAGTACAAGTAAGAGGTTCCAGAAATCATAACTGCTAATGGGATGCCTAAGGCCTCCAGGTTCCCTCACTCATACCTGAAAGGAGGGTGTTGCAAGCAGAAGTCGCCAAGCACATAGGACCCTTTAAACCTTTGGAAGGCTTCCGGCTTCCTGCTGGGGGGCCTGCAGACATCACTGCACAGTGTCCATCAGCTGGTGGTCTAAGGAGTCTTGGATTTGTGCTTTCTCTTCTTTGCAGGGCAGCTTTGTGGCTTGTATGATAGCCATCCTACAGCAAATGGACGACAGCCACTACAGTCACTACATCAGTACTTTCAAAACCATACAGGACATCACTGTAAGTAGTCTGCACTGAGTCCTGGCAACCTAAAGACGTTATTTTTATTTGCACTTTTTGAGACAAGGTCTTGCTAGCAGCCCAGACTGTTCTCCTGCCTCAGTTTCCCAAGCACCACCAGGCCCAGCTCTGAAGATTTCTTAAATTTAATGAAAAATAACTAAAACTGAACATCACAAGCCCAGGGCTCCCTTCCCAGCCACCTCCAGTGTGATGGGGAAGGAGAGATCAAACCCTTGGCAGGATTTAAAGAAGAACAACACATCACCAAGTGGTCGTTGCTCCCCCTACGTCATTTATAGTTAGAGAACCCTTGTTTAGAAATGTGTGAGAGATATCTTTTATGCTCTGAAAAGAGGACAGTGTGTCCCTTGAAGGGATACTAGTTGCCAGGACAAGGATTTTAGATGCCGGGGTGTGCCAGGTCATCCAAGAGGTGGTAGATAGCATCCTTTTGCAGAGGGAAACAAAAGAGGTACCCCTGTCCCTTACGGTGTTCGTAAGCTGTCTGTTCACCTCTGGTTTAAGCAGAAGAGGTGTCCTCATAGTTACTGTTAAGTGTGCATCTAAGAGGCAAAGTTAGCACTCTGCCTATGGCTCCAGGACCCCTCCTTCCCTTCAGGGAACTTGTTAGTGGAGCTAAGCCAGCCATGAACTTGGCATCAGACTAGACCTGGGCATGGTTGGCAAACTGTGGCCACCTGGCACCAATCCTCCCTTATATGACACCATCATCTGTGCATAGTCCAGTCTTCTGTGTGTGTGGTACTGGGCTCTGAACACAGTGCCTCTCACCTGCTAGGCAGGCACTCTACTACTTGAGCCATGCCCCCATCCCTTTTTGCTTTAGTTATTTTTCAGATAGAGTTTTGCATATTTTTTCTGGAGTGTCCTAAGGTCCTCCTACTTACATGTCCTACATAGCCAAGATTACAGATGTATGCCACCATGCCTAGCTTTTGTGTTAAGATGTGGTCTCTCTAGCTTTTTTTGCCTGAGCTGGCCTCAAACCATAACCCTTCCATGTCAACTCCCCAGTAGCTGCCACCACATGCAGCCCAGTCCAGTCTTCTTTGTAGCCTAAATTGTCTACTCTCTGCGCATTGTACTACGAATGTGTTGCCAGTATGCTGGAAGAAAGGCTTTGAACAAACTTGTTTTCCAGCTATTCCTCCTCCCTCCTTTGTTCTCCTCAGGACTTCCTTATGGAGACTTTTATCATGTTTAAGGATCTGATCGGGAAGAATGTCTACGCCCAAGATTGGATGGTCATGAATATGACACAGAGTAGGTAAGGCAGCCAGTGACCAGGCTAGAGGCCTTTGACCCCTGAAGTTCTGTCCAGTGTCAGTGCCTCAAACCCTTATCTCTAAAGTAAGGACCTTCCACATCCGTGACCCTAACATGTGAGCTCATAATCTCCCTGTCTCTGGGCTGTGAAATTCCTCCCACTTGGCAACTCTGCATCTTCTGTCTGTGCTGGTCTCCTCCTCATTCTCATTAATCCCCACTCACCATCGGCTCTCTACCCGTCTCTCAGAGGCTCACGTGCCTCCTCATCCGACTGTCAGGGCCCAGCCTGCTTCTCCAGCCACACAACCTGTGCTGCAACCAGATGTCCTCCTGGTTCCTGAGACCACTCTGTGGCCTCACACTGATTCTTCCACTTTCCATGCCTTCTCTGCTGTCTCTGGCTGTCAGCATTTCTCCCATTCTTTAGGGTCCTTCTCAAACGTGGTCTTCAGTGGAGCCCGAATGTCCCCACCTTTCTAACTGGGATGTTGTCTTTCCTTCCTTTGAGTTCCCACACCCCTCTGAAGCCCTTTCATAGAATGTTCTTCATGTTCTCTGTTGAATTTCCCCCACCACATTCTAATCTTCAGATCAGGAGCTGTGTTTTTCAACACAGCACCAAAGCCAACACCTTGTTGAATACAAGTGAAATGAACCAAAGATATGTCATATTAAGAGAGCTTTGGAACTTTCCTTAATGACTTCAGTCAGGCAAATCATGGTTATATGCATTGTTAACTCTACATGGTCCAGACCCCTGATGAGAACTCTTCCCATCCAGGTACAGATTAGAAAACATGGCGTCAGAACCCTAGACTGTAAAAGAGAAGGGTCCCACAGAGTGGGAATGGCCCACCCTGAGCCTCAAGTGGCCTAGGGTACAGTCCCAGCTCCATCCTCAGCTACCCAGTCCGGAGCTAAGAGCTATGGCCCTGAGGCTTTTCCTGTCAGCTTGGTTTCACTTATAATGTAGGTGGCTAAGTGTCCCCAAGGGCACACAGTTCCTTATTTACCCCGTGCTTTCTTCTCCAGGGTTTTTCTCCGTGCTATCAATCAGTTTGCTGAGGTTCTCACAAGAAAATTCATGGATCATGCAAGCTTTGAACTTCAGGTAAGCATCCAGCCCACCAGGAATTTCCTGGGATTCTTGCCCTCTCTTCCTAAAGAATGGTTTCACATGGGAGAGCAGCCGCTCAGATGAAGATGGTCTCTGTGTGTTTTTCCATCTCCTCAGGCGTACATTCCCATCACACCATCCTCCAGGTATAGAATAAGTGGTTTTCTTTTTCCTGTAAAAGCAACACCTGCAGGAAGAAACGTAAGGAAGCAATACTGTAGTAGAAAATATAAGTGAGCAAAACTGAGAACAATGACAATACAAATACTGTGGTTTCCGTATCCACGGGGCTCCATTCCAAGACCACCTCTGGCGCCTGAAATCACGGGTAGTTCCAAGCCCTGTTCAGACTGTGCCTTCCTCCTGTATCTGTGATAAAGTTTAACTTACAAAGTAGTCACATCACAGTTTAATAACAATGACTGACAGTACAATAGAGCAGTGATAGCACTATACTTTGTTAAAGTTCTGTGAGCATGGTCTCTTTCTTAAGAGTCAAAATAAGTATTAATATTTTCACATTGTGGTTGACTGCAGGTAACTAAAACCGCAGAAAGCCACACTGCAGATAAGGGTGCTACTGCAGTCAGACCGTTTGCTGGTAATGTTTTGGTGGTGGTGTCACGTACAACACACACAAATAACATCCACAACACGGTAACAAATGGGTACTCCTCCATCGACAAGTGGGTTCGGCTTTGAAGAGTCATTCACAAGCCCACGATTTTGAAAGTCCAAAGTAATTGCAAAATAAGTAACCACTGGCCTCATCTTCATTCGTCCCTTCATACAACAAGCCTTGGAGTGTTTGCAAGCTCACAGCACTCTGTTAGACCTTGACAGATGCACATCAGATCTGTGCTCTTGGGGGGCCTACGTTCCGGAGTGTGTTTTGTTGGTAATTTGCTTTTTCTGCATCATGTGCTTTGAGTTCTAGAACTTTTGAATTGGACAGTCATAAGTAGAGAAGGCCTTATATGTATGGTTATGTGTGTACATGTGTGCACGCCAAAATGGAACTCAGCTATGCAGTTCTTTGATGACCTGTTAAGCCACCTTGTTTTTCCACCAGTTGTGATTTAAATATGTTTGCAGTATTTTCACTGACTAAGTACAGTCTCGGTGTGTGGCTGGTTCAGGGTTTATTTAACTAAATTCTCCTTAAGAACAGTTACATTGTGTTCATTTTCTTTTAAACTAAATGTTTTTTAACTACCCACAGTTATTTCATCAGGAAAAAGTCCCCAAGTATTTACTAGCTTAAAAGTTTGGCAAAACTCTAGGGCTTTTGATGCATATTTCCAAACCACCTACTATAAATAGGTATACTTCTTAGCACTGGCTTTCCTTTATCCCAGGAGTAAAGAAAAATGTAAAATTTGGATTCTTTTTTTTAAAAAGAAAATTAAAACTCACTATTAAGTCTCAGAACTCTCAGAACTAAATAATTGAAATGGAAGGAAGAACAAGAAGTCTTGTGGGTTTTATTTTGTTTTCTTCACGGGTCCTGGTTAATGACATTCTAGCGTGTGACTCGGTTTCGTTATGACCCTTACTGATGTTATTTTCCACCTCTTTTGCCCACCCAATTAATTTTGAACAGCTCTGGAACAATTACTTCCACTTGGCAGTCGCATTTCTCACCCACGAGTCCCTTCAGCTTGAAACCTTCTCACAAGCCAAGCGCAACAAAATTGTAAAAAAGTAAGTGTCCTTTTAAGACTTGGTGACTGTTGGGACGGTGATTTGTCTGGTTTTTTTCAACAATGTTTTTGGTGTCCCAGAAATTAGTGTTCAGTGACTACTCATGTTGTTAGGGAGGTAGGTCTTAAAATATCATTAAGTGAACCTCAAAATCACCCAGGTCTTTTTCTTAATGTCCCACCACCTCCCTCTGAGTCACCCCAAGCTTTTCAGGGAAATCTGTACCTGGGGAGTTGCTGGCCACCACTCCTGTGCCAGGACCTGCTGCCCTCTGCTGGCAGCTCATGCAAATTGCAGGCACAGTGCCTCCTCAACACTGCACAAAGCTGATTCCTTCCAGCAGGTCACCCTTCCTCTCTCCCTCTTCAGCAGAGAAGAAGACACCAACATAACCTAAAAAATGCTCTCCAGATTCTTGGGCCGGAATTCAAAAATGGAATTATAAGACGTTTAGTTCATCTCAAGTGTGTTTCAGAGTTGAGAGCTTGGAAACTCGAATATAGTTAAAAAATAACTTGAGGAGTCCACTGTGGTGGCACACGCCTAAACTCCTAGTACTTTTGAGACTAAGGCAGGAGGACCATGAATTTAAGCGCAGCCTGAGCTACATAGTGAGACTCTGTCTCAAGCAGACAATAAATAAATAAAACCTTGAGTAATTTATTATTTGAGGACCAAAGTTTCAGCTCCTTTTCCTTTTTGCTGGGATATCTGGGGTTCTAGGAAAATATCCAGCATTCCTCAACCTCATGTATCTCCCTAAAAAACTGAGGTTGATAGCTAAGAAAGGAGGATTTAGTGAATGTGCATTAAAAGACAAAAATATAACCTGTTTGGGAGGCATGGGTATTGAGATACTGATTTTCAAGATGGATCCTTTGACTGAATGCTTTAGCGTATCTTAAGTGGCAATTAACTCTTTAAAGGATGTGTTTGATTTTGGTTAAACAACCATAAACAGCTAGTTGATTTCAAGTCCCATAGGGAATAAAAGGCTAATTAGGATTGATGATTCTGTTTTTGGTCAAGGGAAATTATGGCTGTGAATATAATCCATGTATAAAGCTGTGCACGCAGCATGTGCCTGTAGTCCTGAAACTCAGGAGGCTGAGACAGGATCAAAGGTCGAGGCCAGCCTGGGCTGTGTAGTGAGTTCAAGAGGGGAGGGAATCAATAACCCATGGAAAAATGTGTGTATATGGGCAAAAATAAAACTTGGGAAATAAGCAATTACATAAAGTTGTAGAAGTATGTGTGGAGAAGTAGGTGTGGAGTGTGGGGTGGGGCAGGCTCAGATGTAAGAATTATTTGAGAGATTTCCACCCAAGAATCCCGGCCAAGGCCAGTACTTCTCTTCTCTCTTCCCTGCTGCCAACTCTGATTAGGAGCTTTTTAGACATCATTTTCCTACTCACACCAGATGAAGTTTAATGCCACAGATAAACTGTGTATCTGTTGATAAATACAAGTATCTGTGCTATATACATAAAAAGCTGGCTTTGTATTTTGCCCCCATGGACTAATTTTCATCCCTTTGTGCCCCCATTCAGAACCACTGGTCTAGAGCCTTCCAGTGTGAGAACATATTGGCCCATTTGTCCATTACCATCAAGTATAATTATATAATGCCACCATGTCTGTTAGCCATTGGTCAAATCCTGTTCATTGGCACTCATGTGTCACTTGGATTTTTCTTTGCTTCATGGCAACCACAGTGTTTCTCGCTCTTCTCCTTCAGTCACTCTGTCAATGTCATCTTCTCACATTTTTTCAGCATTTACATTTGGCTTCTCCTGCTGTTAAAGTCTTCTGTACTCTCCTGTGGCTTGTCTCTTGAGGCTTATTTGGGTACTGACCTCATCTCTTACATTGCCCCTGCCTTACATGTGGCTGTGTTTATTCCCCTCCTCATTGTGTTCTGGGCTGTTTTTCTGCAAGTTCTGCATCCTCCATCAACAAACAGATAAAAATTATTGGGTAGGAAATGACACCTGTTCTGAACTTGAATAGACTTTTTTCTTGTCACTATTCCCTAATCAATCCAGTCTAACAAGTAATCACATAATACTACATTGTAGTAGGTATTGCAAGTAATCTATAGGTGGTTCAAAGTATAGCAGAAGCTGTGCATAGGTTCTCTACCAATCCTATGCCTTTCCTGTAAGAGGTGTGAGCAGCTGCAGATTTTGGCATCTGAGGGGAATCCTGGAACTCACCCCTGCAGGTACCCAGGGACAACTGTGTTGCATGCAACTTATTTCACTGCAGATCTTTCTCTTGGTTTATGGTCTTCTTCCTAGATATGGGGACATGAGAAAGGAAATCGGCTTTAGAATCCGGGACATGTGGTATAACCTGGGTGAGTGTCTGACCTTGAATGGGTCCCGAGCACAACTCCTATGTGATAAGCATCCCTTAATGAATTCTTACTTTAATTCAGATAACTGTGAGATTTATTTGTGTGTAATCTGGATATGAAAGCTTATTTGTAGATTTCACACTCTGGCCTCAACTTGGACATTGAGAGTGAACTGTCTGTTATTGTGGCTTACACCTGTTACCAGAACACAGCATTTCATCACCCACTCCTGAATTGCAAGAGCACACCCGCATAATAAACTTTTCTGTATGCACCTTGTGGAGGAAGATTGTACCACTTTACTTAAATGAAGTAATTCTAAAACTATCCTCGCTTCATTTCAGGTCCCCACAAAATCAAATTCATCCCATCCATGGTGGGTCCCATTCTGGAGGTCACTCTGACCCCTGAAGTGGAGCTCCGGAAAGCCACAATTCCCATTTTCTTTGATATGATGCAGTGTGAGTTCAATTTCAGTGGAAATGGCAATTTCCATATGGTAAGGAGTGGTAGATTCTAGTTTCACTACACACATAGTTCACTTGCTGAGCTCCCTCTTTATGGAGAAGCAGTATCCCCAACAGTGCAAATCAAAGTTGAGCTGAAACTTCCCTTTTACATTTCATTTTGGGAAACAATTAAAGCTATGATCAGATCAGATATTCCAGCCCAGAGCCTGGAAGGGATCTTTTTGCTCCATGGCTTTCCTGAGGCAGGATTGTCCTGGATGATTGAGAGTTGGCTTCATGCATTTTAATCCTTCCTGCTGCTGTGCAGCTGAGAGAAGTGACCTGTGTGCTGCAGGACAGTGTCCTGGGCCCAGCTCTCCTCTCTGGCTGCTCCCCAGCTGTGAGCACTTCCCTTTGCCTGTGTCTTCTCTGTGCCTCAGTTTCCCTCTGAACAAAGTACAGTAACCTTGAAGGAAGCTCACCAAAAGCAATCCCAAGACTCAGACAGGAAATAAAAATATGATATAAAATTAGAATTATTAAGCTATTTTACATGTATAATTGTAGCAGAAAATAGCATTTCAGATTTTTTTTCTTTGCAAATGTAAGATAAAGGACAAGGTAATACCAGACTGCAGTGGAACACTTTTTTGGTTCGTTAGGGGTTTGTGTGTGTTGTTAAGTCAGGGTCTCACAGTGTAGCCCAGGCTGGCCTAGAACTCTCAAACCTCCTGCCTCCGCCTTCTGAATGCTGGGATTACAGGAGTGCACCTCACACCCGGCTGCTGTGGAGCATTTTAATAGGGCCTCAGTACCCATGAGTGACAGGAAGTGGAATCACCCCCACCTAGGTCCGACACAGTTCACGATTCAAATAAAGGGGTTGGGTCTGATCTAGAGAGCTTGGCTGGGTGTTTCTCGTGCCCTCTTCTAAGGATGTGACATTCTCCTGTGAAATTCTGGCTGTGCTTTCAGTTTGAGAATGAGTTGATCACAAAGCTGGACCAAGAGGTAGAAGGAGGCCGAGGCGATGAACAGTACAAGGTTCTTCTGGAAAAACTGTGAGTATCTCAGAAACCAAACCTCACGTGGGTGGCACCGTGGAGCAGTGCTCAGCCAGTGGTCTCAGGACCAGGGTAGTGCTCAGTGGGGTTGATGAAACTACAGAAACCTCTGTTGAGCCTGTTTGTCTGGTGTGAGTCAGATGCTTGCATTTTCCTAGCCAGCCTGGCCCTGGAGAACAGAGCAGATGGAGGAGAGGAGATGAAGAGCTGTGGCATTTTGCCCAGTGTTTGAATTTCTGAGCTTCAGCAAAAGTGTTAGCAACTCTAATTATGACTTAAGCAACCATTTAAAGGAAAAACATTTCAAGGTCTGCTTTGTATTTTAACATACCTCCTGCCCCATAAAAGACCTCTAAGAAGAAACAAGTTCTGTCCAGCCACCTTGTTTTTTCCACTGCCCCACCCCCATGCCATTTAACATACCCTTTCGTTCATCCCAGCCCAAGTCATCACCACCACTGCCTCCCTCCACCCTGCTTGCACACACTCACATGCCACCTGCTTGCCCTGTCTGTTTTCCTTTGCACAGGTGGCAGATTCATGAAAAGAGTACAGGTGTAGGTTCAAAACCCTTGGAAGTTGGCTCTAGAGGGAGATTTTGTTTCAAATCCTGCTTCTGCTGTGTACTGGGAGTTCTACTTTGAACCCAGTGATTTGAAGACCTCTTTGTCCATCTGTAAAAATAGTATCTGTTTTGTGTGCATGGCGGTATTGGGGTTTGAACTCAGAGCCTTGCACTTTCTAGGCAGGTGCTCTACTACTTGAGCCCATCCCTAGTCCTTTCTTGCTTTAGTTTTTTTTTTAGATAGGGTCTCAAGTTTGTGCCCGAAGCTAGCCTTGGATCATAGAACTGTAGCCTCCCACATAGCTGGGGTGACAGGCACGAACCACCATGCCTGCCTTATTGATTGAGATGGGATCTCGATAATATTTTGCCTAGGCTTGCTTGCCTCAAACTTCGATCCTCCTTATCTTCACCTCCGGTGTAGCTGGAATTGCAGGGATGAGCCACTGTGCATGGCCTCTATGAGTTACTATTGTTGTTAGTACTAAATAAAACAATGTGTCAACATAGTGTCTAAGTTCATGTTTTAAAAATGTTGGCTGCTCTGTTACATTTACAAATCCTCCCATCACTCAGGGCTGTGACTGCTGTAGACTTGGCTTCTCATGGTCACTGAACTTTCATGACATTGACCAGCTGTGTCACCCTTTGAGTACTCATCTGGGTCATTTTGTTATTTACCTGTTCTGGGGTAGTTTTGTGACCAAACTGAACTTGAGGACAGGGACTCCCAACTCTTTTAAGACTCCCTAAAGACTCAGCACTAAATACTCAGAAGTGGAATGAAATTGATGAAGAGCTTGTATTTTAAGGAATAGAAGTCTTCCTTATTTTGTTTTTAATGAAAAACCTTTTAGATGATTTTTTTTTTAAATCAGTTTCCAGTCAGTCTCTGTTTGACCTTCAAACATCCCAGTTTATAACTTTTGCAATTTGGATCTTGTATGGAATAAAACAGGGAAGTTATGCACTGATAGAAACACACATAATTTAAAAAAAAACTTCTACAGCTGATTTTTCCATAAAGAGATTACTTTGTTCTTCCTGGATCACTAACTCAGAAAAGTATAACTGTCCAAATCTCCAATGCTCAAGAGTAATCCTAGAGTCTGGACTAGCTGTTAACACCCATTTCTTTCTCTCTTCCCCCTCCCTTTTCTCAAGTTTTCTTTTAATTGCTTAATCTAGGAATCCTCAGTACTTTCCTCTACATGGACACAAAGGGAGAGGGTTTAACCATCACCTCTTATTTACAACTGTGCATTTCTATCTGAAAATTATCCTTTTATCTAAAGAACCATACATCTAGATGGCTACCAGGTTCCTCCGGGTTGGACGTCAACCCAAGGCTTTCCAGATTGCCCAAGAATACCAGGCCTTGGGGGAGAAGAACGACGTAAGAAAGATGGTTTCATGGATCCTGGTTAGTGTCATTGGATAGCAGACGTGAAACTTGTAGGCAAAGGTTTTCCTTTCTGCAATACTGACTGAAAAAACAAAGTGACCATCAAACGTAGGACATTGTGGGATATAATTCTGAGTGATGATGAGAGCTGAGCTAAGTTGAGTAAACCATGCTATAGGCTAAGATAGGATGCTGTTCCTAGGAGGGTGAGATGGGACTGAGCTGACTTTCTGGGCCATTGAGTCTAGTGCCACCTGCTGCTGGGACCCTGGTCAATGCTATCAAATGGTGAGTGACAGGGAGAAACTTGGGCTTTTGTCTTTGCCTCCCTGTCCAGGCTCCTAGAACATTGCCGGAAGCATAAATACCTGTCCAGCTCTGGGGAAGTCTTTGCCCTCCTGGTCAGCAGCCTCTTAGAGAACCTGCTGGACTACAGAACCATTGTCATGCACGATGAGAGCAAGGAGAACCGCATGAGCTGCACCGTGAATGTGCTGGTATGAGTCCTTCCCCAGGACTGCCATGCCACCCTTGCTGCCCCCAGCTCAGCTCTAGGTTGTTCTCCCAGACGCTAGGGCACCCTGGGTCACCTTCATGGAGTCTATGTCCTGCTGAGTTGAGTGGAAACAGCTGACTCAGCTTGGACTCAGATACCAGAGCCACAGATCTGGAGGATAAATTTGGAACCAGGGCTGGAAAATGCAACCTAAGCACTTGATTCACGTCTTCCCAAGACATCCTCAGCTGATTCCCGTCTTCCTTCCATGTGCGTGTTTTACTGTTGGGATTGGAGGACACAGACAGAAGCTCTGTGCCATGAAGACAGTCTATCCAGTCTTCATGGTGGTAGAACTCTGGGCTGGCCTTTCCCTGGGCACGTGTTAACGGGACCACAGACCTCTGAGATTTCAGTGCCATGCATTCCTCTGAGAGCCTCCCATGCCCTGCCTCCCTGAGAAAACAGTGAGTCAGGTGACTTTGGGTAAGGGGGCCATCCTTCCCCTCAGATGGATTCAGGCTCCTGGGAAGCACCATCCTTTGGAACGACTTTTCCACTTCTGTGTAACCCATCACTTCCCTTCCTTGTGGGGGACTTTGAATTTCCCTTTGGAAAAGTGACACTGTTGGAAACCAGGGATCATGCTTTAACCATTTTTGTGGCAAGCTTGTCAACGTCTTTTGATTTACACTGATATTTTGTGACCCTTTTTTGGCAGAATTTCTATAAAGAAAAGAAGCGAGAGGACATATATATAAGGTAAGCTGAGGAAATCCCCACTTTTGCTATTTGTGACATGATTTTGTGACTTACTCCTTCAACAAGCAAATACTGAGTCCCGATACCTCACTTGCTGCCTTGAGAGACTCCTAAAAGTGCACAGTGCACTCCATTTGCCTCTACACAGTGGGCTTCTTAAACAAATACCCAAATAAGTACAATTCAAAGGGGTATCTGCGGAGGGCCGTGCCGGAGTTCAGAAAGGATAGAAGACTTCTGGCCAGGGTAATCAGGAGAGGCTCCCAGGGAACAGGTATGAAAGTTAACCCACCATGGACTCTTGGCCTGGAGTCCATGAATACCTGAACTTGAAACAAACTTGTGCATTGGCTGTATGCAGCCTCTCTGTGAGAGGCTTTCATTCACCAAGACCTTAAAAAAATTAAACACCACTGTTTTAAAGGAAGAATAGGCTGGGTATGGTGGTTCAAGCCCATAATCCTAGCCACTTGGGAGGCTGAGATTGGGAGGATCACAGATTGAGGACAACCCTGGCAAAAATTTCTCAAGATGCCATCTCAGCCGATGGCTGGGCATAGTGACACACACATGTCATCCCAGCTATGCAGGATGCATAAATAGGATCTCTGTCCAGACCTGCCCCAGCCTAAAGCTAGACCCTGATTCAAAAATAACCAAAGCAGAAACGGCTGGAGGTATGGCTCAAGTGGTAAAACACCTGCCTAGCAAGTTTGAGCCCTGAGTTCAAACTCCAGGAGTACAGGAAGGGAGGGAGGGAGGAGGAGGGTAGACGTTAGAACCAGTAGAGTAGCTAGAGTTGGGAAGTCATGGGCAGGAAGGAGGGACAATATAGTGCATCAGCAGAGCTAGATCACCCCGCGGTGACAGAGGGCCTCTTGTGTCTTCTTACCAGATACCTTTACAAGCTCCGAGATTTGCACCGAGACTGTGAGAACTACACGGAGGCTGCCTACACGCTGCTCCTACATGCCGAGCTTCTGCAGGTGAGCTGGTCAGCACAGCTGGTCCCTGTTCCATCCTTTGGGACTGAACTCCATACACTTCATGATCTTGACAAGAAATAACTTTATCAAGGGATATCCTTCTTCCAAGAATATTTTCAGATCTTCCGAATACTTTTTAGATCAGGATCGAGAAGATGTCAGGTATCGTTTATTTAAAATCCTTAGGAAGGAGAGGGTAACCTAGAGGCCTCTGGTAATTGACATTCTAACTAAAGAAGCAGAACACACAGTGACTGACATATAAAGAGATAAAAATTAAGCATATAAAGTGAGAAAAATTATTTCCAGCTCTGTCCCCTTCACTAACTTTGGATTCATGTATGAACAGTTATTTTGACATGTAGTCCTTGAATGACTACTCAAACTTGACCTGTTGCTAACAGAAGCCCTTATTTCCAGTTCTTCCATCCTTTCAAGCTCATCCCTACCTCCCCCTTCTTACTGTGTCACTAAATGGCACTACCACGTCCTTGGTTGCCCAGGCAACTGCCTTGCAGGCGTCTGTGATCCCACTTTTACCCACTGCCTCCCCATTTTCCATGAGCAAAGTCTGTACCACCTCTGTGTAGAAAGTGTCCTTCATCTGTCCAGCTTTCTTTATCCCCTGCTGCCATCCTAGTCCAGGCCACCACCCCTACTGAACCTCTTGGCTTCCTTTGTTTTATTTTTTGAGATAGGGTTTCCCTATGAAGCCTAGGCTGACCAAGAACCCACAATCCTCTTGCCTCTGCCTCCTGAGTGCTTCGATTACAGTCATGTGCCACCACACCCAGCTCTCTTGGCCTCCATTTTTACCCCCAGAAGTTTATTTTCTTCTATAATTTAATTCATATATTTAAGATTTTTGTTTTGATTGTGGTGCTGGCTTCACACATGCTAGTCAGGCACTCTACCACTAAGCTACCCACCCCAGTCCTAATTTTATTTTATATTAAATTAATTCTCATCCTTGTCCTAAGGTACTGAGCATAGCCTCACCCCTTCCCAAGGAAACTCATAATTCATGTTCCGGATCGGAGCACTAAAGTGCTTGGGGCACATAGGTTCTGGGGCGACACTTGTTGACTGTGGAGCCCACCACAGGATGGGCCTAAAGAAACCCCAGTATCTGCAGCCATAGGTCATTTGGGCCGCTCAGACAGTTACTCTCCTTTGCTGGTGTAAGGTGCAAGGTGTGGGTACAGCTTTTCTTCCTAGATAGCCACTCAGTAGAGATGGCATGTATTAAACATGGTCCATATTTTCCTCACTGCCATGAGAGCCCAGCCTTATCACACCCTGGGTCCCTCAGTCCCCGTGTTGGAGGCTCTCACCTTGGATTTCATCTGGTTTTGCACAGGCCTCCCTCTCTTCTTGAACCAGCACTGTGCCATCAATGATTAATCTTTTATACTATGTGTTTTCATTTCATAGTTGTTTGTGTTTGCTTTGCTTTTTGTGGTACTGTGGTTTGAACTCAAGGTCTCACTCTTACTGACAGGTGCTTTCATCCCCAACCCCACTGGTTCTTTTATCAGCTTTTCTACCTTTTTCTTTATATTTTTAAGCATTTTTATTAGTGTTAATTGTTTCACTGGGACAGTTTCATACTTAGATCATATTCAACTCCCACCTTACCGTCTCTTTTCCTCTCTCCCTGTTTATTTTCCCATGATTCCAAGTTAAAAATTACTTCAGTGAGAATCTTCTTGTCTAGGATGTAGTTTTCTTACCCATAAGCATGGTGTGACTCCCCCTTTTGTTCAAGTGGGCTACATGCCCTTCAATGATGCTGTTATGTTCACGTTATCTGTGTAGAATTCTTCCATTATCCTTGACAATGACCTGGCTTATCTTATCTATTAGGGTTTGTTTTTGATTAGGTCTTTTTTCTGTTATCTTTTGTATGGTTATTATCTTTGTATCTGAAATCTATCTATTTTCAAATATGTTGGATTTTTTTTTAATCTAGCTACTTAGCTCTCCTGTGGTCTACAGTAGTATTTTAGTGGATCTGCTTGATTGTGAAGATTATAAGCATAACATTTGCACACAGCAACAATCTCCCTCCCCTTTTATAGTCCTGGTGTGTTTCTTTCATCTGACTGTGTTTGGTGCTTTTAGTACACAAGTTGGTTGAAGCCTCACTCATTTTTGCTTTCCTGGGAATGCTGCATGGATCAGTCCGTGTGGCAGGACACTTGCTTTGGAGCTGGTTTATGGGAATGTGTATGCATAATTTTCGTATGCAGTAAATAATTTAAAGCACGATATGGATAATATTTTCCTGACTCTTTTGGTCTGAATAGTTGTTGCATTAATCCCTTGTAATTAATTAATTTGTTATATTAATCCCTTGTGTTGTTTTTGTTTCTTTTAGTGGTCTGACAAGCCCTGTGCACCCCATTTGCTCCAGAGGGACACTTACTATGTTTATACCCAGCAAGAGCTTAAAGAAAAACTGTATCAAGAAATTATATCATATTTTGACAAAGGCAAAGTGAGTGTTGGGATTTTTGGTAATCGGTACCGTAATTTAATACATTTCTGATGCTAACCAGAACCAGCAATCCCCAGCAAAACCATGGCTACTTCTCACAGCTGCAAGCATGGAGGTGAGGTCCCCAGACTGTCCACACCTCTGATCAATGAGTAGAAATGTTAGGGGGTTCTCTTGACCCCCTTGGGGTTGATCATTTGCTGGAATGACTAAGAACTCAGGAAGCGTTACATTTAATGACTACGGTTATATTAGAAGGGCATAACTCAGGTCTGGAGGAGTTCCAAACATAAAGCTCCTTTGTCCTCTCTCTGAACTTGGAGCACATCACCTTCTCAGAACACTGACATGATTATCAGGCCTGGGCGTATGTGCCTATAATCCCAGCTGGTCAGCAGGCTAAGGCAGGAGGATTGCTTGAGCTCAGAAGTTTGAGGTCAGCCTGGGAACATAGTGAGAGTCATCCCCTTCCCCTCCCCTCAAAAATTGATGTTTTCTCCAACCAAGAAGCTCACCTGGGCCTCAGTGTGCAGAATCTTTCCTTGCATAGGCGTGAGTGACTGACTGCATGACTGAACTTAACCTCCAGCCCCTCTTGCCCCCCCAGAGATAGGACTGATAATGCCTTTTAAAGCTCCAACTCTTTTGGAGTTTTTTTGAGACAGGGTCTTATTATGTAGTGCAGACTGACACGGAACTCCCTTTGTAGCCCAGATTGGCCTCCAACTTGCAACCTTCCTGCCTCAGCCTCCTTAGTGCTAGGATGCAGGTGTGCACCACCACGCCTGGCTTCAAGCTCCCAGTCTTTAATCACATAGCTGGTCTTCCTGAGACTCTCTAGGGATCTCCCACAAGTCACTTCTTCATTAGCGTAAACTCAGCCTGTCTCTTGTGAGTGGTGAGTGGCCACTCCAGCACGGACTCTGGTGTGATCCGAGGGTCCCACTAGAGATAACAAAGACATTCCTACACCCGGATAAATTCCAAGGACTGACTGGGGCCCTACTCTTACTCCCTTGTGTTTCTTTGAATTCTGGTATTTCTTGTTGGTGAGAAAATGAACAAATGATTGAGGTATGAATGTCAATAAAGATGATTCATCTCGAGGACACTTAGCCCAGTGAAGAATAGAGTGGGTAGGATATAGCCTCACTCTCTGTAGCCCCCTAATTTTAGCTTTTGAATATCGCTGGGGGAGCATCATTTTTATCCATTCTCAAGAGATTTTGGATGGACACGTGGCATGCTGCATACCCCTGTCACATCTGCCCAGTACCTGGTAACTTAAATGCATACAGGAGCAAGAAAGAAAATACCCAAATGCACTGGGCCAGAAAGTTGTGTAGTCTGTGGCTGGCTGAAGAAAGAATGTCCCAGGGAAAGAGTTTTAAATTAAACATGGAAAGAAAAAGGAGGGACCAAGAAGAAAGGAAGGAAAGTGCATTGTGCGACTCCAATGAAACACATGCCACATAGCACTTCTAGACTGCATCTTGCAGCCACCATATTCATCTTATCAGTAGAAGCTGTTAGTTTAATTACTAAATAAATAAGCCACATAACCATTAGGATGGACCTGTTTAATGCTAATTACTGTTGTGGATGATTTTCAGACTTTTTTTCCTAACTTACTTCTTCCTATAGCCCTAGTTAGGTGATGTTACCTCTATTTGGCAGCGCCTCACACTTGCCGGACAGGTGCTTTACCTCTTGAGACTCCATTAGCCCCATGTTATCTCTGTTTGATAGGCAAAGAACTTGGAGCCCAGACAGCAAATACATTTGTACATACATTTTGATCTGTGCATCCTTTACAGTCTTAAAAATTATTGAGGACTCCAAAACCGTTTTGTTCATATAGGTCATATCTGTTGATACTTTTACTCAGAAATAAAAGCAGAAAAATTACAAATATTTACACATGAGTTTTTTAATGAAAACCTATTACCTGTTAACATAAATCATATATATTTTTGAAAAATTACTGTATTCGCCAAAGAATTCATGATATGAATGGCGCTCATAAATACTTTTTGCAAATCTTGATAATATCTGTATTGTGGAAGACAGCAGGGTTCTCTTATCTGCTTCTGAATTCATTCTACTGTGATACCACACCTCATGTGACCACTAGAATAATGCCACTGTATATTCAGGAGAGTGAAAAGAGACAAATAATTTTAATATTGTTAAGACAACAGTTGTGACCTCATGGACCCCCTGAAAGGGTCACCAGGGCTCTCAGTGCTAGACAGGCCTTGTCTCTTCCGTGATATGGTGGCATTTGGAAAGAAGAGGGTCCCTAGTGGGCCTCCTTCACTGGACTCCGTGGCTGCTGCCTGGCCTCTGCATCCACTCCCAGCTGGCCTGGACTGGTTTCGATGTGGCCCACTGCACAGGTTTTGTAGTGAGCTAGGCTCTGGAAGTGCAGAGGGCCTTTTGGCAAATGATGACTGTAAAAGTTACAATTTTAAAATGTTTTACCACTTCTGTGGGCTGCTTATGTATTCCTTTGCCAGTCAGAAACATGGAACCAAGCACCTTGCTAACAAGAATGAGGAAGGAAATGACCAGATACCAGCATTCATCTGATAGACCTCACACGCAATACCAAAGAAAATACCAAAATGACTTAAGGCTGCATCTGGGGCCTCAGACGCCAAATGCTTAGAGTATTAACAAATTTCCTAAAACTCTCCCTAAACAGATGATTTGAATAGAAATAGGAAAGCAATGCTTCATGTGGAAAAATTTCGCCAAACTACAAGTGACAGTGGCATTAGGCTTCTCTCAATCCCTTAAACAACCCACTTTGCAAACACACTCAACCCAGAGCAGTGTCCTTTCCCTCTGGCAAGACTCTCACACTTTCAGGTCCTAGGCTGTGGAAGGGTTTCCTCCCCACTTTCAGTTGTCACCTCTGCTTTCTATTCAGGTTCATTTCTTTTGGGCGCATATGTTGGTCTTCATGTTTTAGCAAACAAATTGCAGAAGCTTCATGGAAAAGCAGCCAAGATTTACTGCTTGAACGCTCTTAAATCAAAAAATAAGAAATGCTCTGAAATCTAAGATTTTGACTATCAACATGATAGTCAAGTTTCGGATTTTAGAGGATTTGGGGTTTGTATTAGGATGCTTAACCAGTAAAGTCTGTGGAAATATTTCAAAATCCAAAAAACTTCCCAAATCTGAAACACTTCTAGTTGCAGAGGGATATTCAACTTATAATATCCTTGTGATATCAGGAGAGCAGGGTTTCACTGACCAGGGGGTGAGGCGGGTCAGGAACACTTACAGATGCTCAACCCTCCGGATGCGTGCTCAGGCCTAGTGGCTCTCCAGGGATCTTAGCAGCTGGCTCAGTGACTGTGCTATCTGCCACATCTCACCCTGCTTTCCTTTTTCTGCAGATGTGGGAGAAGGCCATTAAACTGAGCAAGGAGTTGGCTGAGACCTACGAGAGCAAAGTGTTTGACTACGAGGGCCTGGGTAGTCTCCTGGTGAGTCTCTGCCAGCAGGGTGTGGAAAATAGTCTTGTACCTTCAAGAAAGCCAGGGCCAAGGGCATTCTTTTCAATAGACAGTAAATTCTTGGTTGAAATAAAATGAAAGAAAGAAAGGTGTGGTCCAAAAGCTGTGGTCCATTGCTCTCTAAATAACCCTCTCTAGAAGGCCTCTTGCTTCCCAGGGTGTTGGTTTCCTGTGCACTCTGTGTTCTTGGCTCACTTGCCTTTTACTCTGTCACTTTCCAGTCTGCTTTCCGGTCCATATTTCAGTTGCTTTGGATACCCTCTGTTCAAACTTTACTTGTCCTGTCATCCCATCCGCAAGACCTTCTAAATGAAGGACCTTCTGGCTTTACTTCTCCACGAGTAGCACTGTGTACATCTTGGGGAGCTATAACTCCTGCTGGCTCCTGAACCTGTTTTGCCTTCGGCCTTCTCCCTAGCTGGAGTACTCACTTTGACAGTTCCCTGAGCCTGTGTATTACGCCTGGATGTTGTCACAGTTCAGTTGTTTAAAAAACAGTGAAGAAAAATGCAAATAGCCGTCTAGATGCCCAGTGGTAGACACTTTGGACGACTTTTATGAGAGAAGTCACAAAAGGTCAGGTCACCATTGTCATAGAATGATCCTTTATTTGAGAAGCTATTTGTCAAGAGGAATTTGTAAAAATTCACCTATGTACACTATACAGGTCAGAAATTTACTTCAGATTTCCATAAGCTGAACTGAACCAAGATGTTAGTAACAGGTCATCTATCTAAGAAAACATGATTCACAGACCTTCACCTGGACAGAGTGGTCACAGAGGCATGTCAGCCATTGCGGGGTAGGGCTACTGTCATCCCTCAAAGCCCCTCAGGCCTGGCTACCTGTTGATTTTCTTTATGACCAACTCTGAGGCTAAACTGAGAAGCTGCTCCCCTTGTGAAGAACTAAACAATTAACTGTAAAGAACTAACGGGAGGAACCAGAAATTGAAAAGGGTTATGTTACCACTGCCTTCTGGGCACTTGTAGCTGATCCAAGGACTTCCATCCATACACCTGCATGAGGTGGAAAGTTCCTGACCTTCTTTTCCCATGAGTCTCTGACTAAATACAGCTGCCTCCCGTGACTCTCAAAAAGTACTTCTTAACCTTGCAGGGTCTGAACCCTCTCGAGAAATTTCTGGAAGCAATACACTGTCTCCCAGCACAGAGGAACACCCATGTGCACATCTGCATGCAGGCTCCTCATCAGATCCCATAAAAGGATCACCCTTCTGCCCATGGGCTGGTTTCCAAAGACTTTGCACTTCTCTGTGTTACATGGGAAACAACAAAGCAAATAGGCTAATCCTTTTTTCTTTTATTTCCCCCCTCCAGTAGTGTCCTTGTAACCTCCCAGTGGAATGTCTTGTTTTGTTTTCCAGAAAAAAAGAGCCTCGTTTTATGAGAACATCATTAAAGCCATGAGGCCTCAGCCCGAGTACTTTGCAGTGGGGTACTATGGCCAGGGCTTTCCTTCTTTCCTGAGGGTAAGCAGCTGAGGGTGGTCTCTAAAGCCATTAAGCCATGGGGTCTGAAGGAGGGACAAAACTCATTTCTTTTCCAGCTGGAGACCTGTACTCTCACCATGGGAGGTCGGGTGGGTAATACTTCTGAGCTCTGGCCTCTTCACCCCACACCCCCAGACACCACTGGGATTCTGGCAGATCTTTTATAAAATGACTTTCCCCGGGAGGAAAGAGAAAAGAAAAAACAGAATCCGCTCCTCTGTTGGTAAAGCTGGGGAAAGCATGGATTGATGCATTTAGTTCATTTCCAGTCCGAATTCCTTTGAAACCAAGTATCCCAAGAAGACCATAAGAGTTTCCCCAACACAAAAACAGTTCTGTTGGAAAAGTAACAAGGATGGCACTCTTCTTCCTCAACCAAAATGTCCAAAATGGAGCACTGATCTTATAAGTTAAAAACAAAAACTCTTACCTTCTGCAAAAAGAATGCCTCTTTTAGTTTTAGAACTAAGTTTTGTTTAAATATATATCATCGGTCATCTTCCCTCTAATTAAAGAAAAAAATGAATGATGAAAGCTACTGCCATTCCTAGAAGGGCTTAAATTTTTTCATTCAATAAATATCTACACCAAAATGTCTACTCTGTGCCAGGCACATAAGAGGTTCCAAAAAATAACCAGTTGTTATTGTCAGACAGCTTCCTGCCCTCTGGGATTTTATAAGTTAATTGGGGAGGTATTAAATAATTACACATGAATGTAAAATTTAAGCAGTAACAAAGAAAGATGTGCTGTGCTGTAAGAGCATGTGGCCAGGGACTATTTACCCAAGTGGGATAAAAACTTATCCCTTCCCAAGGAAGGGGTAGGACATGTTAAAAGCAGCTTTAACTGTAATCCCTGAAGACTGGTCCAACCCTGGTGTCTGCCAGCTGGGGCAGGGCTAAACAAACTGTAGTCCTTCCACTCAGCACACTGCTCAGTAATAAGAAGGGGTGAACTCCTAAGACACAACCCCATGGATCGCTCTCACATGCCTCATACTCCATGGAAGAAATTAGAAGTTCTTTGAAGTAGTGAAAAGGCCCCATGCCCTATGACTTTATTTATGGGACATTCTTGCCAATACCATGCTTCCTGTGAGATTGCTGATGGTCTGGTGACTAGGAGCTGTTGGACTACAAAGGGTTATGGGGAAGTTTTGGGTGCTGATGAAATGTTCTATATCTTGATGTGGGGTCATGGTTACATCTGTAAACCTCCATAATTTGTATTGGATGTCAATTTTGCCTTAATTTTTTGAAGAGCCAGGAAAGACTTCCCAGGCAGTTTCTGTTTTAGTGCAGTCTAAAAGGTGAGCTGGGAGTTGAGGAGATGGAGGGCATCAGTGTCACATTCCAGGCAGGGGAAACAGCAAATGAGAGCCTGGCAAAGCCTAGGCCAAATAGACAACCAGTGCTACAGGCCAGAGAGCTGGGGGAGCCATGGGTTAGCAGGAATAGTGTGTAGGCCTTAGGTCACACAGGGTATTTTATCTGCATCCTGAGAGCAGAGGGGCCCATCACAGGTTTTTCATGTTAGACAGGTCATCTGGCCTTGGTATGGAGAATGGGTGGGAGGCGTGTGCTGATAAGCCACAAAGATGCCATCGCAGATGGTCAGGGAAGAGATGAGGCTTGGCTGAGGGAGGTGATAGTGGCGACTTTAGAGAGAAGTGGAAAGAATCTAGTGATGGTGATGAAATAACAGGATGTGATGATTGACAGGCTGTGTAGGTGAGGAAGAGGAGGTGTCAAGGATGATCCCTAGGTGTCTGCCTGCATCATGAAAGGGTTAGTAGAGCCAATGACTAGGACAGCAGGGCTGGAAAGACACAGGCATTGGGAGAGATTAGTCCTGAAGAATCAAAGGACTGAACTCTGACTATGAGGGCAGAGCCCTAAACAAACCAAAACCCTAGACATGACTAAGCTTATATGTTATCTTGGAGAAGCAAAAAAATAAGATAAGTGAGTGAATGTTTAGTGTGTGAGATGACCCAGAGAACTGCCTCATGTGGTATAGGAACTCAGCTGAGCTGCATAGATAACATGGTGCTGGGGGTGTAGTTGCAGTTTGAAATAGGGGAACTGGAAGGAATTCAGAGTAAGAAGGTGACATTTGATCAGAAACCTGGAAGAAATAAAAGGATCAGCCATGCATTTATCAAGAGGAAGAACGGGGGCTTCAGACAGTGATAACAGGTTCAAAGCTGTGAAGCTGGAGAAGCATGAATGAGAAGTGAGTATTATGGCCGGGTCAGAAGGCTATGGGTACCTGGCTGCAGAGGGGTGCTCAGGTCGTTATAGGTTATCTCTAAAAATCTGGTTTAGGACATACTCACTGTGAGATAGATTTGAACATCCAAGGCACGTGAGTCAGCCATTGGCTGTATGAATCTGGAAGAAGGTTCTAGAGATTCAAGTCAGTGAGTTGTTTCCTTCCAGCAGGTAGCACCGTCTTTGTAGATGTGGTGTAGGGAAGGACGATAGACAAACAGTCTGGAAGAGAGCCTGGCGCAGTTTCTGGTCTTAGCTTTGCCATTCATGTGATCAAGACAAGAAAATGATGGCTAAGCTTCTTGGTACATACGCCTTTGTTTGGTTGGTTGGTTTTTGTTTTTTTGAGACAGGGTGTCCCTTCATAGCCCAACTAGCCTTAAATTCAGTGATCCTCCTGCCTCAGCTTCCTGAGTGCTGGAATATTACAGGCCACCATGTCCAGGGTTCATATGCTTTTGGCATCACGTGAAATAATGAATGGGAACTAGGAGACAATCAGAAAATTCAAAATCCAAAATGCTTCAAAATCTAGGATTTTTTGAGCATCATGTTGGTCCTCAAAAAGTTTTGGATTTTCGAGCATTTTGGGTTTTGAATTTTTGGATTAGGGATGCTTAGCCTGTATCTTGTTCTCTAAGGTGGTGGGCGCCATTTAAAATGCAGATGTACAAACTGTTGCTGGATCCTGATGAGGAAGACGGGGAGTCTATACCGAGTATCAGTGAATATACTTACTTCCTCCATTGAGAATGGCTTGGTGTGAAAAATAAAAATGAAGCAGTGTGCCTGGTGATGGGGTGGATTTAAATTAGGATCCAGATCGTTGTAGGTACCTGGAGACTGTTTGCAGACTGGCTAGAGTTGTTGTCCACACTGTAAGAAGTAGTTCGCCAAGTGTTTTTTATGCCTGGGAATTAACTACTCAGAATAACCCAAAACTCTTGTCACAGGTGATCCTTACTGTTGGACGTGTTGATAGATACTCAGTGAAAACTTGGTAGTGGATTGAACTTTGTCCAGGGATTACAGTGGCTTCCTCAGTATCTATAACTCTAGTTGCCCCTTCCCTCTTCCTGTTGAATAATTTCCTTGTCATCTGTGACCTGCAGAATAAAATCTTTATCTACCGGGGGAAGGAGTATGAAAGGCGAGAAGACTTCAGCCTGAGGTTGCTCACCCAGTTCCCCAATGCTGAGAAGATGACAAGTACCACACCCCCTGGAGAAGACATCAAGTCATCCCCCAAGCAGTGCATCCTTGCCATGGGAAAAATGGCCTACCAGCACTTTCCCTTGGGACAGCCCCAGCTAAGCCAGCAAATCTAAGGATTGCAGCCCTTTCAATGGAGACAGATAGGCCCTATGCCCTCAGACCCTCCCT